CTTTTCCATTATGAACCCACGAAGGTGGCTTTGCAATCGTAAAAGCCCAGCTCAATTTCTCTGAGTGTCTGAAGATCTAGTAGAGAGCAGCCCAATCTAGTTCCCTTTCAGGTACCGCAATGGCGTCCACCATCAAATAATACTGAATAATCCCTCTGATTAATACACATAAAAGATTGATTATAGAGTGAGTGAGGTTTAATTAGGTCTCTGTCTCGACCTAAATTCGAGTTTTGATCGTTATGATTGCTGGCTTGCTGCCTTTCCTAGGGCCCAATTAGCATACCATTACCTTGTAGTTTGGGAGTTTGGATACATTAAGCAGACCCAACTGCAGAATGGAGCCCAATACAGAAGGCCCTGATCAACGAGCCTCAACCCAAAGTTTCAGGGCCCACAAAGAAGGCAGGTACGGAGTAGAGTAGAGAGTTCTCTTTCTTTCCTTTTATGGCTATTTATTTATGTAGTTTTAATTTTGTTTTTTGTTTTGGTTTTGGAGAAATGAAATGTCAGCTTTCCTTTTAGTAGCCGGCTGCCGGAGCAGGAATAGAAAGGGAGTGTTGACCGGAAGAAAGTTGAAGTGGTCAAGTTGCCCCGAATTCCAAGCTCTTCCATTGACCCATTCGAACCCTAATTACAGGCAGCCAACTCCAGCCCATGGAATCAAATCGACTTTAATTACATTCTTCAACAGAAGTTGACTTCATAATGTACTTTCTATTGTGACCCAAGGCTAATACAAAGCTCAATTTAAAAGCAGTTTTTCTCCCCAATGTTAATCTAGTATGGTAACATATTTGTAACTCGTCTTGATTCACGCTAATTTGGTCTTTTGATAACATTTTCGGGAGAAAACTCAATGCTTTGCAATGACAAAAGACTATATAAAAAAAAGATGTCGAGTCAGTATTGTGCTTCAAACGGTTGGATTTGAATGCCTATTTGGATTCTAGTTACTTTACATTCCCTTATTTTCTAAGTTATATATAGTTGTGCTTGTAGTTGTAACTCTTATTTATCAAGATAAACTAAATAGGAAAGGAGAAAGAGAAAAAAACTTTGACATCCTCTATTAAAAGGAATATTTTGTATCCAAACTTGGTGTGCTAAATGGTTATGAAGTTAACGAAGCTTCTATTACAAGTCGTTTAACGGAAGTTGATAATTTCTTATCGGTGTACCAAACCATAAACGATTAATAATTGACGGTTAGTGATTAACTGGTTAATAATAAACAGTAAGGGTTGTTAACCATCCAAAATAGGCAAAACGTTATACTCAACCAGGGAAATGATTTCCTCCTCAACCACTCGGCACTCACTGACTCCAATCTCCTCGTTCTTTCGGCTCAATGTCGCGAACCACGAATCGCTTCGAGCTATGGATCCTCTCTAGTAGCTTCCCTTTTAGATTGACAGAAGGATGATTGAGGGAGATAGGAGGAGTGACGGTTGTCAGCATCGAGAGAGAGTGCGCGAGAAAACGAGAGTGAAGAGAAGAAAGGAGTGTGTGTGCATAGAGTTTCTCCTACCCATCACTTTGCTTCTATACATTCTATAAAAATACAACTATGCCCCTTGCCTTTTGCCAAACCCACAAACCTACTAGCTTCCTCTCTTTCGAGCGGGTAGGAGGTTACGGCTAAAATACGTTAACCACATCCACAATTGACAATTAACCACTAAGACTGGGACCCTGGGCGGATCGAGTAATAATAATGATTTTTTGGTTGACGGATAACCACTAACCTCATTATTAGTTAACGTTTAACCACTAACCAACTCGACTATTACCGCTATTCCAATCCAACAAAAATGATTTGCAATTCAAAACGATTTTATCTATTGTTGTTATGCCTTTGCAAGTCCCCGTAGCTCAGTATCTATTGTCGTTCAAAAAAAAAAAAAGCTCAGTATCTCTCTACCCTTCGCTCTTTGTAGGATCAAGACTGAAATTAAGCAATATTCTCTATATGATATGCAGTACTAGTTAGTTCGTTAGAGCTTGTTAATTGGTAAGCAATAATTGGTGATTTGGGAAGACAGACAGGGCATCCAAAATTTTGAAAGTTTTATGGACAAATGAAAGGGGAAATGGACAACTAAGAACGACAGGTTGGTCATTAGTAACTCTACGCAACCAAATTACTGGAATTTGTAATTATGGGAAACCCCCAAAACAGAGCAAAAGACAGCAATTTCCTTCACCTTGTCTCCTCAACGCTGCATCTTGGTCACCCACTACCTTACAAACTTTTGGGCAGCAGCAAGAAACTATGTGCCTTTAAAAAAAATCCCAAAGCAATAACTAATGGCAACCATAAAAAACCAGACACTAAATGGATCACAAAGCAAGAACTTTGCCGCTTCTTCCTAGCTTAGCTATAGCCAGGCAACACGCAGAATCCAGCGCCACAAAAGCTAGGCTTGTCATCACAGTTGGGCAAAACACAAAAGATCAAAACTTTAGTCTAGATATTGTCGTCATCGTCGTAGATTACAAATCGATGGCTTAACATCTACGAACGAGTTCGACCTCTAATCGGTAAAAAAATGGTATACTCAAATGTTTATTTTCCCCTCGCTTGACCTCTTTATCACATGATATGGCTACAAAAACCGCACGTATGCAGGGGGTTGATCAACACTACACGACCTAATACCGTCTCATCCCCTCTGTATGTTTACGATCACCGAATCGATGTAGATTAAGCTGTGTGCGTTAATTCCACGGGAGTTTAAGTTTGTCGATAGAGCGTGTGGAGGTCATCAAGTAGCCAAATTCCTAGGTAGCTTGAATGTGTGATGCATAGTGGTAAGTGGGACAGAAGGAAGGTTCCAAATGTTTGTGTGAATAAATATTAGAGCAGAGAGGCCAAAGAATTCCTTATGGAACAAGGATCATCACATGCATAGAATGGGGAAACAGCCATCATATGAAAAGTCTCCTGCTGCCTACAAGTTTTTACATAGATAGATAGATAGATAGGCCACCAAACAAAATAACAAACAGATCCGACCCAGAAACCCTTCTTTCTGGTTTGACTGAAATGTCCTCCCCTGGCTTCTTGTTGTGGCGTCAAGTCAAAGTCCATTTCTTCATGGAAACTAATGAGGCAAAATAGAAACTAACTAAACTGAAACAAAACAAAAAAAAAAAAAGTACTAATAGTCTGTTGACTGATTCATTCGATAAGAATAGTAGCAGCATCTGAAACTAGCATGACCTTTCTCTGGCAATGGCACGATCCAGCCCAGCCCAATCAGCTACTGCCTTTTGCCCGGTTACTCTCTTCATTCCAAGGTGGATAATGTTATGAACTCAAATTTGTTTCTGTTTTTTTTTTTTTTTTTTTTTTTTTTTGTGTTTGATACATAAATGCTCACTAAAGTTGTGCTTCACCCATAAATTAGGGGAATTGAATTCGGGTTTGTAATGAATTTGTTTATTGAAATTTTGAAATAATTAATAAAGTAGTTGTTACGTTTATTGTTATATTTTTTTTGTCGCCAATAATCTCACAAGCAGGATCGGAGTGGTGTATTCTAGTGACATGATCTGGGATTAAGTTACATAATTGATTGATATGTGTTCAGTTGAATACGAGGTGAGAATTCCTTTGTACATTAAACTGATTGGGGATCGAGATTGAAATCAGATCAAATAAGCTCTTGGCATACTAATCTGTACAATCAACCCATTTATGTGCTGATTGACCTTTTCTCTCATGGTTTTTTCAATTTTGGCCCAGAAAATGATCGATTGCCGGGACTTTCTTCTCTGCTTTTCTTCTTCTTCTTGTTTCAATGTTACTGTGTGAAGTGTCAAGAAGTCATCTTCAAGAATGCTCCTTCCCAACTAGCTTAGTCAATAGTCATCCACCCGATGGAAAGGCTTCCAGAGGAAAGTTCAGTGTGGAAGAGTAGTGCTTCTGAATTTTTAATCATTCATTTGTTGCACTGTGGGTTGATTTCTTGTCTTGTTACATCACATTCTCGTTGGCCCCAACTCAAGAACTAGAGAGAACTTGCTTCACCAATTTATACCTCCTGCTACTTTAGTACATAATCTATTCATTTAAACCTCAATTACATATCATCCAATCACTTATAACTTATACCTACTTTTTTTGTCGAGATATTTATACTTTAGTTTCACCAACTTCATCTTGTAAAATTGTTTCCGAGCTTAGCTAACAATGCATCTAAAAGAGAAAATGATATCGAGCATATGAATTCAATCTAGTATATTTATTCGACGAGTTATGGCATATACATTTCACACTCGGACTATAACCCTCGCGCGCCTAATGATCCGAACGTCTGATTTCAATGTACATTTGGATTGTAACTGTAACCGGATTGGGAGAGACAATAATGGTTATTCAGAAATGAAAACTGTTGCTTTATGTCCTTTTTTTTCTTCTTTTGCATACCCAGATTCTGGTTATGGGTCAGCATGAGAATCAAAATCAATGGTGTTGTTGATACTTGAGAGCTGAGAAGCTGGCTTCAATATGAAGTGAAAACACTCTGCCTCGCTCACTTAAGATGAAGAAAAATGGTGAGAGAGAGAGTGAGTGAATGAGAATCTGCCTTCCTCCATTTCCCTCAAATAGATAAACTAAACTAAACCCAACTCCATGACAAGGGAAACCAAAAGAATTCTTGATGAATAAACAACTAAAAAAAAATTGGTGTAGAATGGAAGGAAACCAGTAGAGTGCAGTGTGGAGCAGGCAGGCAGCAGAGCAGAGTGCCAAGTGAGCACAGCTGGAAGAGGCAAAGCACATATAAAACAGACAGGCCACCTTACCAGAATTTTGTTAGCCCTTTTTCTGGCCTACCTTTCTTTCCCCTCTCAACTCAAACACACCTCCCATGCTCTCCCTCCTTCTCATGCTTCTTTTACTTTGCCTCCACTCTCCAACTTCTTTTTTAATTCATAGTCAAGTCTCTCGTAGCATAGTCTCGTCTGTCATTTTTTGTGTGAGTTCGCTCATAATCGATAGTGTTATATTCGATTTTCTCTAGGGCCACCTCCCGATGTAAAATGGACTTTCGATTTATATGCTTCGAGTAAAATTGTCATTGAAAGTTATGAAGTGTGGCATTTGATTCACCTAAGAAAGTTCAACATGTGGCAATGTATCTAGTGTTTTGTGCTGTAGCATTTGCAGCAAGTAGAGAGAGTAAAAGGTCACCAACTTCTTGTGCCTTCACTTGATAATACCCACCAATGGCCCAAACACAACAAAAGTATTAATTCCCCTGTCTGTCACTTACCTCAACTCCCTGAAACTTGCCCAACTGACACAGCATGAACCAGAACCAATCAAATCAAGAAATCACATGAAGAAAAGTTAAAAAAAAAAAACAGAGGAAAGGAAGAGTCAGGAATTCAGGGGCTCTGTGGGAGAGGAGGGAAGTAAGTATCTGTTTGAAAGCAAAAGCAAAGCCCCATTTGCCAGCTTTAGCATTCAATGAAGTTTCCCCAAAGAAACCAAAAGGACCCAAATCCAAATCAGACAAATTTGTAGTCAGCAGCCAGCCAGCCAGCAGCAGCACAGCAAATGAAGATTAACCAAACATTGTCAAGTTAGTAGTCTGCAAGACAACAGAAGAACATCTGAAGTTCATCTATGGAGGCAAAATGAGAATTGGGTTCATGGGTTCAGTTTCCCTATCTATGGCTACAACTCATGAATTTGACCCACTTCCACCAACTTCTACAGTACCCAAGTTAGTTCCAACCCTGTGGGCCAACATCAACCATGGAAAAGACTCTACAGAACCATAAAGATGAAAACTTTGATTCGAGAAATTGGTATTGTGTATCGAAAACATCCACCTTGCTTTCAGTTTGGAGAAACTTAAGCATCAGAAACCACACTAAACTCGTCGTCTTCCACCGGTGCTGGAAAGTTGAGATCCAAAAAACTGTAGTTCTTGTCGATTTTGGCAGCCGGCGGGGGTGGTGGTGGTGGACGAGCGGCAGCTGGCGAAGGGTAGGAACCACCGCCGTTGAGATGCGACCTCTTGTGTCCGCCCAGTGCTTGACCCGACCCGAACACCTTTGAGCAATACGGGCACCGGAAAATCCTCTCCGCCGCAGCCACCACATTCCCCATTCCTCCGCCGCGGAGCTGGGTTCCGTTGAGCGAGCAAATCCGGCGGTGGGATCCCAATGCCTGTGACGATCGGAACTGTTTCGTGCATTTCTCGCACTTCAACTTCTTCCCGCGAATTCTGCTTCCCCTTTCCATGATCCCTTGATCTTCCTCCTCGATTTCCGCCCTCTTCTTGATTTCTCCTCCATTCTCCGCCTCTTCCTCTTCATCTTCCTCTTCAATTTCGTCGCTTTTGTAACTGAATCTTCCCTTCCAGTTCACATCCCTCGACAGCATCACCAGGCACATCGCCACATCTTCTTCAGGGGAAGTATCGGAGACCGAACTCACCGGCTCTTGCTCTGCCGCCGGCGGCGGCGAATCGAAAATCCAACGCTGATTCTCACCAAATCCCTTCTTCTCATCTCCGCCCGACTTCCGGGTCCGCTTGGATCGCCTCCGGGTCGGGTTCCTCGACTCGGTCTCGCTCTCCCTGTCCTGCACGACGGAGGACGACCCGGCGAAGGAGAACTCGGGATCCGCGACCCGGAAACTCTTCCTCGGGTTCTCCCTCAACCCGTAAACAGCATCGCCAAATCCCCCAAATTCCGCCACCGCTCTGCTCTTGACGATTTCCTGCTCCACTTCCAGCTCATCTTCTTCTTCCCCTGAAGAGGAATAGGAGAAAGAAGACGACGATTCGTCGTCATCGGGGCGGGGGCGGGGGCGGCGGCGGCAAGTGGTGGCAGAGGAAGATATGGGTGGGAGACGGAGTTTGGCCATGTGGGATTTCATGTGGCCGCCCAAAGATCGGCCGTTGGGGAACACCCTGAAGCAGAGCTTGCATTTGTGCCTCTCCATGAGCTCCGTTCTCTGTTTCGCTCTCGCTCTTTCTCTCTCTAGGATGAAATAAGGGGAGACGATGGAAGATGGAAGATGAAGAAGAGAAAGATTTGTTAGGGGGAGGTTAAAAGGAGTAGGTGACAAGCATTCTTCCACCAAAAGTACACAAATCAACAGACCCAAAACTTATGAGCTTGCACATTTGCAGGGTGGAGGGTAGAGAGAGAGAGAATAAACAGGGAGAAAAAAACTAAAAACCAAAACTGTCGTACACAATTGGGAAAATAGGTGGTTAATTACATAAATGGGCACCAAAATTTGGTGTTACAAACAAATTGGTGAGAAAACTTTGATTGTTAACTTAGTTGTCATTCAAATTGCAGATATTCAACGTAATATTGTAATGTTCGTTATGTGCATTTCAATTAGTCTTTTCGTCCATAATAAAGGGAAAATTTTCTATCAGATGTTTGATTGGCATATATAAACGACTCATTTTTTCTTGTATATGATCTAAAATCTAAATCAAACCCCATTAATCAACTCGTTCTTATCATACATTACTCGAGACTGATACCTTCATTCATCATGCCTAAAAGTTAATTCGACATGTGTTGAGTGTATACTTTGGATGGAAGCCTAGTGGATGTGAAGTGTGATTATTGTATTATTTTTTTCCCCTAGATGGTTGAATGCCACAAATGGAGTTTTGATAGGCGGACGACTGGAGTCAAATTTGGATCTCATACTCGTCCAACATCTCAAATATCTTGGAGAGACGAATGTACTATTGTTATGTCAACTATTTTAAATATGAGCATTGCTTTGTTACAACCCCAAAATTCAGTGACCATATACAAAATTGACCATAACAAAAAGGGAGGAAAATATTTATTGTTATTGATTGCACTTAGATGGTCTCTTCCAAGAACGGCAAATAAAGGATTTTTTTCTCCTTTCATTAGGAAAACGCTCTTGTCTATTAAAGCATTTCTTCCTTCTTCAATTCTCTATTTTAAGTAGACATTCAAATAGATCAACCACTTTCTCCTACGCATACAATGAATTTTAACTTACATGTTGGATTAAATTATATATGTTTGTTAAGTAATTCGATGGGCATTTTACTTCCACGATGCTTCAAAGAGCTTAATGACATAGATTAGCATTCTTAATTAGTATCCTTGCTATATGGGCATTCAGAAGATGGTGTTGAGTGTTGACTCCATAGTTGTGGTTCTGTTTCTAATGATATGGAAACTCCTGCTTATCAATATCTCGTTTAGATCCTATAATTTCATGGAAAGAGTGTTTTTTTAGGGAATTTATCATTTACATGGAAAGAGTTTGGATTAAACATTTAAACTGGTTGTACATGGGAGAGTAAGAAACTAAGAATGAGTGATGGTTGAATGGGAAAAAGAGGGACAAGTAACATGCAAACCTTGCCACTTCATGAACAAGTAAAGTAACCATCCGATTCCCTCTTCTTAGACCCACTTTTCGGGTGGTATCTCAATGTTTACATCTGTTTCGTACCAAGCATAAATCAGATCAGGCCAGGCAATATTCTAGTGAGTACGGGTTGGGACAGGATGGCGTATTCTTATGTATTATTTGAAGAAGATGTTTATTTTTTGACAATGAAACGAAGGAAAAATAGTTCATAAATAAAAGTAGAGATACTAAACAAATTAATTTGAAGTCTTTCATTCATTTAAAATATCTTTGCTGAAAATATGAGTTGAGATAAATATGAATAAATATTAAGATAAAGCAGGATATAATGAGTCAAAAATAGAGCACAGCAAAACTAAATTAGTACTATTACCCACTACCCACCCCAACACAGAGAATATCAAATAATACTCATCGAGCGGGTTCAAATTATCATCAGTAAAATCGTAGCAAATGAACAGCTAACAGGGAGTCCAACTATTAAAGAAAGAAGATTCGTCTGAGAGCCCGGCCCAAAAGAAGTATGAAGGCCCAGTAAGTCAGTAACGTGTCAGTGCCTGCCTAAAAAGACCAGACTTAAATTTAGTAGTCTAATCCGAAAGTTCAGAATCTGAAAATAGAATATTAGTCCGCATAAAAGTCAATTTGGATTCAAAGTATAATTAATTAGTTTTGGTTTTTCCAAAGAAACCGAAATGTCAACTTTCCCTTTTGTTCCCCGCCCTGGTAATAGGAGCAGGCATGAAAGTGCAGTTTTGAGTTTTGACCATAAACACAAGGAGTGGGGTAAAAAATAAATATCAGTAATTATAAGCAGAAGACTTGGTTTGATGGACTCAATAATCACTAATCAGATCATAAAAAATAAAAATAAAAATAAAAATTTACTTACAAGAAATGTGTGTTAGATTACCATTGTAAGAGAGGAAGAATTATAGCTATTTCTATATTCTGTCATCTTATACATACTACATATAACCAGTTTGTGATAAAAAAAGACTTTGTCCCGTATGTTATTTACTAACTTGTTATATTGTTATCACTTTTTATTGACGAGTGAGAGAATTAAAAAGAATGGAGAAATGATGAAATCAACATTCTATATACCAATTAGCTTTATTGTAATTAGAGAAACTAAAAGAAGGCGATTACTTGAAGTTGCCGAAGATGAATTAATACCCAAAAAATGTTTGTTGAAGATCTTAATGTACCACTTAGCACAAGCGAAAATCTTTGTGATGATTTTTGTGATTTACCAACCAAATATCCATCCATATACTAGTGCTAGTGAGAAAAAACAAAAAAGAGGGGGAGGAAAGATAGGGGGAAAGTGGCAAATTTTGGCCACCCATAACCGACGAATTTCCAAGCTCCATCACCAATGACATGTTCAAATGAGAAAGCTGTTCACTTCTTTGCAACTGTGGAATACTAATGGGTTTTAATTTTAAACTAGCGTGGGTCCGACCAGTTGGTCGGAGGAAGATGAGGTATAAAATTTGATAATGTAATGGGGTGTATAGCTTATTGTTGTATAGTTTTTTTTTGAAACACGTGATAAAAATAGTGAATTTTAGCAGGAAAGAGACATGAACGATGCAACGAATAAAAAATCGGCCTTAAAAACCAAAATCAAGTACCTGATACTTTGTGAAACAATACTGTTTCTGGTAATATGATGAGGTGGAGTAAGTTTTATAGAAATCAAATTCCAGAAAATCGAATAAAAAATCGTCTATCCCGTCGGTTTTCCGGAAATGAGAATCTCACAATCGTTGTTTGGATTGAGATTTTTATCGGGTATCAGGGAACCATGTGATTATAAATTAGACTTGATCAAAACGAGCCAAAACTTGAAATTCAGCATGTTTGACCGACCCATGCTAAATTTTAATTATTCTTACTTTTAAACTTTATATTTGAAAATAAAAAATAGTGAAAGAAAGGAGATGACTGCAATTCTCCATTTGCACATCACTTATTCGGGAATAAAGCCATAGAAATTCCAAAGGAACTAAAAATGTTTAGGATCGTTTTAATGTTTAAAATAACCTTATAGATCTTTCTGTTTAGTTTTTTACTTACAAATACCAAACGATTCCCTATAAAATACACTATAATTTGATCATTATGATATCAAATAATTATATAATATATATTTGAAATGATAAAAATTGGACTAATTGGGTTGGTCGAGGTTGAACTATTGAATAACTTTAAAATAATTATATTTTAGTCACTAAGATATAAAATAATAGCATGATATATATTATGCCAGAGAAAATAGCTTGTTTTAGAATGACAAACCAATGATGTTCATTTGTTTTACTTGATGGCCAAATCCCGTGTAGGTCAGGCCTATTCAACTCTTTTATTTTATGGTTAGCGGTTAGCCCATTAGATATCATGCATTAGTTTATTGTTAAATTTTTACATTAGCAATAAAAAGGAGTATTGTTTTTGCCTTTTCATATATACTTTATCACCACGGAGAAATAAAAGGGGTTAAAGAAAAAAATTGACACTCTTGGACCCATTTAAATCTGCATGTGTACGGTAAGTTGGCCCGTTCCACAGAGGAAAGAGAAAAAAATTGACACTCCCTATTCTACCCTTCCTACAAACGCTCCTGGAGCAAGGAATTTTGAATGGGGGAAAGGTTTTTTCCTCCCTGCTATTGTATGTTTTTTCCTCCTTTGCTTTTCTTTAAAATAGTCATGGTTCGAATCTCAGTACCTGTCTTTATAATGAATAAAAAAAAGTAATTGTGAAGACCAAAATGCCCTTCCTACTTTCACTCTCGTTGCAGGAAATTTGAAATGGGGCTCCCGTTTTTCCCTTCGGCGTATTATATTATGGGTAGATCAGTGTTTGTTGATTTCCTAATTTCTTTTAGCCTTGAGTATAGTTGTAGGTTGCTTATAGAAAGTAAAAAAGTGTAGTTGTAGGTTGAGAAAACAAATGCTAGCCATCGTTAATCATGATAGTGTCACAAATAGGGATGGCAATTAAACCCATGCCCACGGGTATCCGACCGCCCCTGACCCAGTCAACGCGGGGAATCTCCGCATTGACCGGGTATGGGTAAAACCCGCAAAAAGTTTGATGGATATGGGGCAGGTATGGTTTTAGCCTCCCTCGCCCCATACCCATACCCATACCCGCCCCACCAAAAATATTTCTTCACATATGAAAAATATGTGAATCGATTTGTAACCTATCAATAATAGTGAGTATAACTCAATAAAAATATATAGTAGAAATGCAATTAAGTGACCACCCAAATCAAAATCTAATTTATTTGTCTCAATTTTCCCTTCACTCTTTCACTTTTTCCCCTTGTTAACAAGATTATGTTAGTTAATTATTACTTAATAGATGTATCACAGTAGAGAATAATGATTTGAATGACATTGTACTCTACTCTGATATGGATTAATGGATGCTTTAGGATAAGATGTTTTGAACCGTATTAAAAATGATTGTCTCTTTGTAAACTTCATGATATAGTAGGTGCGTTTAATGTTATAATTGAAACTATACATGTAAAAATATTTCGTATTATAATGTTGGATGTACGGGGCGGGTATTACCCATGGGTACCCGAAACTCATGGATATGGGGATGAGTTTGCAAAACCTTCCCCGCATGGGGTATGGGGCGGGTATGGGTATAGATATTTGAAAGCGGGGATGGGGATGTGTCAGAACAGAAGCGTGCAATCGATAATCCAAACCAACAGGAACGAACACAAATTTAACGTGGTTCACTAACACAATGTATGCTAGCTAATCCACGGGCAGGGGGGGAACAAATTTCACTGATGTGAGGAGAGTACAGGTTACAAACCAAATTCCAAACGGACAAACCAAACAAACTAACCTGACTGACCCCTACTACAGACTAGAGTGATGAAGAGTATTTATAGAACTCTTCTCCTAATCCCAAACAGAAAACCAAACACCTTTTCCCAAACATACAAGGAAAAGGTCAAACAAAACCTAATCCCAAACCCAAACAGAATAGGCCTAAAACACAAAACAAATCCAAATCAAATTCAAGTCATATTCTAACAATCTCCACCTTGACTTGAATTCTCTCTCAAATACCAAATATACCAGACGCAACCAAAGTTGCCAAATGTACCCAACCGCGATACATATCGCCAGACGTATCCAAATACGATCGAAACCGCCAAACTCAAACGCGATGCAAAATCGCCAAACTAGATGCAATCAAAATTGCCAGACGTATCCAAACTCCTCCAAATCAGTTGTACCAGAATCTCCCCTGCCTTCAAATGCCCCTAAGGGCGGTCAATAACTCAAACCATTCGGCAAGTCCAACCCATATTGAGACTTGCCATTCAGAACCAACTTGGTGCACTTATCACCAACAGAACATGTCAAAACGGAACCTTGTAGATTATACAAGGCACCCCGCTTGACACCTTTCAAAATCACCTTAGAATCCTTGTAGACAGACAACACTCCACCTTTACATTTGAAGTTGAAACCCTTGCTGTCGAGTAAACTCAAAGATATCAGCTTCTTAGTCATTTCTGGAATATGCCTAACATTGTTCAAGGTGCGAACAGAACCATCATGTGTCCTCATCCTGACGGAGCCTCTTCCAACAATCTTACAGATAACACCATTGGCTATAGAAACATGTCCTCCATCTATCTGCTCATAAGTTGAAAAACACTCCCTGCTTGGACACATATGATAATCAGCTGCAGTATCTAAATACCACACATCCTGATGATGTACCTGTTCATTCACTGCTAAGGCTAATCCATCTTCAGAATCAGAGTTAGTTTCTTCCGCCACAGCAGCAGATGATTCCTTCTTCTCCTGATATTTCTTCAGTTTAGGACAATCAAATTTCCAATGTCCTTTCTCCTTGCAGTAATGATAGATATCATCCTTCAAACCAGCAGAATTCGAATTTGTATTCGCCTTCCTATTATCAGATTGTTGTCTCCTACTACTCGTAGCAGCCAACCCAGATGCCTGATTTTTCGAATCAGAACCAGACGCCTTATGTCGAACCTCTCTAGTATGTAGAGCAGATCTGACATCTTCCAAAGACAAACTATCTTTCCTAGCAATAAAAGAATCCACAAAATTCTCATATGACTGTGGCAAAGATACTAACAGAATTAAGGCAGCATCCTCATCATCTATTTTAACATCAATATTCCGCAGATCTAGCAAGATAGTAATGAGTTGATCTAGATGATTCCTGAGAGACGTATCTTCCTCCATACGCAAACTGAACAAACGTTGCTTCATATGCAACTTGTTGGTTAAAGGCTTTGTCATGTATAGACTTTCAAGCTTCAACCACAAACCCGCAGCAGTCTTCTCAGCAGCAACCTCAGTGATGATGTCATCAGCCAAACAAAGCAAGATTGTAGAGTGAGCTTGCTCCTCCAAAGTAATCCACTCTTCTTCATCTATGCTTTTCTTCTTCGATTTTTCAGACAACGGAGCCCACAAACCCTGTTGTTTCAACAGTGCTTGCATCTTGATTTTGCCACAAACTGAAACTATTTCTTCCTGTAAACTTCTCAATCTTCATACTGATAGCAGCCATTCTTACTATCAAACAAACTCCAACCAAACTCCACAAAGCAAAACTTCAGTCCAGCGCCAAATTCCCAAAATCGCAACCAAAGGCTCTGATACCGCTTGTCAGAACAGAAGCGTGCAATCGATAATCCAAACCAACACGAACGAACACAAATTTAACGTGGTTCACTAACACAATGTGTGCAAGCTAATCCACGGGCAGGGGGGAACAAATTTCACTGATTTGAGGAGAGTACAGGTTACAAACCAAATTCCAAACGGACAAATCAAACAAACTAACCTGACTGACCCCATCTACAGACTAGGGTGATGAAGAGTATTTATAGAACTCTTCTCCTAATCCCAAACAGAAAACCAAACACCTTTTCCCAAACATACAAGGAAAAGGTCAAACAAAACCTAATCCCAAACCCAAACAGAATAGGCCTAAAACACAAAACAAATCCAAATCAAATTCAAGTCATATTCTAACAGGGATGGTTTAGGCAAACCCGCCCCATTGCCATCCCTAGTCACAAATCGAGTTGAAGGGGGTGTTGTGTAAGGTATTCAGTTGGTTTAGGATGTAGGTCATCGGTGTGTCTGTATTCAGTTGGACTCTCAGTTTATCGTGTGGTTGTTTCGGTATGCGTCATGTTTATTATTTGTGACCCATATGTGGAATGTGTTTGTAGTCCATATTTACAAAGAGGGTAATAGGTGTGCATACTCTTTGGACAATCGATAGTATGTTCTCCCCTTTGATTTCAGTAACCGAACTTATGTCGTATCACTCGATTTTGTATGACTATCAGAGATTTTCCGAACCCCGAATAATTTTGAATGAAAAGTAGAGTGTCGTTGCATCCGTTATAAAATAATTAGTGTCACTCATCTAACGATATCATCTTACATAAAAGTGGAGTATGTAATGTTGACATTGAACCATCCATAACTATTATCCAAGTCATTATTATGACTCGTAACTTACCGTGAGTATGTTATTTCTTACAAGGTTCGGTTTTCATACGCACTAGTACTCTGACCCGCAAGAGTTAATTACGACCAAATATGAACCACTTATTAGGTGCACGTTATGTGACAGTGAAAATATTGAACAAATACTTAGGGGTCGTTTGATTTTAGTGATTGTTTGGTTGAGATGGTTACAATGCATGTGAAAACCGTGCATTTTAGTGATTGTAACCATGCATTGTTCATAATACATTTTTTTTTAATTTTATGCACAAACTATACATGCATTGTTTGCTTGATGTGATAGAAACTATCACTCAAAATGAGTGATAGTAATATATCAAGTTTTTTGTGAGATTGTTGAGATTGTTTGTTTGAGATTGTTGGAGTGGTTTCTTCTTCCAACTATGTCCCTACCTTTTGATTTGTTTTGCTTTTTTATATTAAATACAAATGGTAAAAGTGACATTTAACCGAGAAAGCAACATATCTTATTTATATACTAGAATATTTATCATTGAAACCTAACGTTGTAAACTACAATATATCAATTTTCCTATATGCATGTATATTATTATGCATGTATTGGTAAAGGGAGTTTTTCCTCGTAGTTCGTTTGATTCCGATTGTTATGTAATAATAATGGAAACTATGGGAATCCATGATTATAAGATGATTATTTCATTCTAGTGTAAATTTTTACCGACATTCACTTACAGATTAAACACTTGAACCGCATATACTTATCCCAACTTTATAACGATTGATCTTGATTTTAATTTTATCACACATAAAAAATGAGAGTGGAAGTGGAGGACAAAGAAAAGGTGATTATTGTTCATATATTAGCGACTAGTGACTTCACGAAAGCAAATTGCTAGTTGTAATATTTTTGCTGGGTTTGTAAATTACGGAATACCCCCAAAACAAGACAAATCTTTTCTGATAAACCAACCAATGTATGAATTTCCGCAGATAAATATTGACAGCAAGAGATTATGCATAATCCTACATCACTTATTAATAATGCCCATAAAAACCAGACACTGAATGAATCACAAGGCAAGAACTACAGCCAGATATAGGCATGCAAACACAGAATCACGCCATGAAACTAGGCTTATTATCTTCTGGCATGATGGGAAGATTAAAAAATAGAATAAAAGATGCTGATGGATATAATGTGAAGGATATTTACTAAAAAATAATTAATTTTTTGTCCTCCAAGTCACTCGTTTTTTTGTCCTTGTCAAAGAAGGAAACTTGGTTGTCATTAGGGTTTTAACTCTACGTCTAACTATATAAGTTTAGCTACGAGATTGTCGTAAAAAAGTCGTCACAGTGTAGTCGTTCAATAAAACGTCAGCCGTGAGCTCTTCCGAGCTCACCGTGGGTTAGTCTCAATCAATCGATCGATCGAGAATACCATGTAAAATCCCTTGTGTTATGTGTTCGTTTCAATTACTCATTATCAAATTCTTCGTATACGATTAGGAAAAACTACTTAATGAGTTTTGGAAAGTAAAGTATGACGATAAACTTACCTCAAATACATATAAACAGTGTAAGTTTGGTAACTTCATACAGGATCCCGAATGATTTTGAGTCGGGGTGAGACAAACCGCATCAAAATTGCAGAATTGTTGGTTAATCGCAAACTGCGTAAAAGGATGTTTAAGGAATTGCAATTGTTTAGATGGACTGTCAAACAAAACATCGATTAAGGGTAAATTGAATGCGTGTTAATCTCTGTTAGGATTTTAACCTTTGATTTGTATGGATAAGTACTAAGTAATAACAGTCATAAGTCATATATATATATATATAACGTAAGAGATAAATACAAAAGGCAAAAGTCTCCCAAATACCAAACTACAAGTTTGATTTTTTTTTTTTAACATAGACAGAACTGGAATAAAGTCCAGATACATAGTCAGAAAACCGAATAAATTCACGAGCGAAACTCGACTAATCGTCGAACTTTCGATGAGAAAGCGTTTTTGTCACAAAATGGACTACTCTATTAACTCGACGAGTAACATGCAAGTAGGGGTGGCAGTTCGGTTCTTTCGGTTATAACCGGTAACCGATCGGCTGGTTATCGATTAACCGAAATAACCACCATCCCTACCAAACATCGACCGAAATAGGCTTCGGTTTCTCGGTTATCTCGGTTATCGATTAACCGAATCACTTTTAAGACCAAAAATCATTTCGTCCATCCTCCGATAACCGACCGGAGTTCGGTTACCTGTTAGTGAATAACCGGCCGGTTACAAGTTTAACCGACCAGTTAACCGATAACCGGTAACCGAACGGCCACCCCTACGTAAAAGCAACAACAAAACGACCTGGCCCAGCAAACCTTTTCCTGTTTGACTGAAATATCCTTCTCTGCTTCTCTGTTGACTGTTGTGGCGTCAAGTCAAAGTCAATTTCTTCATGGAAATTTGGGGATGCAAAATCTCCAATTCCAGCCCGGCCCAGCCCAGCCTATCACAGTCCAATTAGGTACTTCGTGGTTTTGTTTGATACATAAATATGGTCACTAAAGCCCCGGTCGTATTTGAGTGGTTGGTGAATAAATTGTAACTTCCATTGAAAATGAGCTACGTACCAATGAAATGATTAATTATTAATCATAATAAATTTTTTAATAATTTAAATCGTGTCGGATAAACGTAATTGTTTACACTATAAATTTTGTCTTGTACCACATTGGTGAGTTACAAGATAATTAATGAGTTTATAAGGCCACACCCATTATAACAATTAATGTTGTTTAAGTTGGGCCTTATGGATATTAATTTTAAGCCCAAGCCACTAAATCAACGGAGAGGCCATGCCGCCTCACAAATAAGACCGAATGAGTGAAAATTTAACTAAGTCTGGAAGAGGTACATGCCACCTCAAGGAAGACCCGGTGCGATAAAAAATATTCTAAGTATGAGAATATAGGGCCATGTGGGTGATTAAGAGGTCCATGGCCGTGTCATATGTGACGGGCATGGACACGAGACAAGAGGACCTGGGCACGTGAAAAATACTAAGTATGAGGAGGCCAATGTCGTCCAACGGAAAGGGCCGCATACATGAATGAGAAGTCCATGGTCGCGAATAAAGAGGCAATGTCGCCTCATGATCTAAACCAAACAACCGAAAATATTCTAAGTATAGGGAAGGACTTGCTGCTTCATGAGGGAGGCCATGTACATGATTGAGAGGTCCGTGGGTGCAAACAAGAGGCCATACCATAGGATAATTCTGAGAGGCCATGCCGCCTCACGAGAGGGGCCATGGACACGAAGGAGAATGACATGGGGATGAAATATTATATCACTAGAGACTAAGTCCCAAGAGGGCCATGGACATGAGTAAAGAAGTCCATGACCGTGATATATGAGGCATGCTACAAGCTCCTACGACGGTTTCAAGAGAGGCACATAGGCGGTTGAGAGATAACTGCTATTCATCCCACGTTCAAAGGACACGTCAGCCACGTTCCGAAGAAGCAGGGAGCAGTTCTTTTTGGAAGTTATCCGAGGCAGTTTTTCTACGACAGTTACCCACTCAAGGCTATAAATAAGAGGATAGAGCGACAGAGAAGGGCCCGCAAAAAATTACCACTCGACACCACTTGTCAAGTTTTATCAATCTTATCTTTCCTCTGCAAATTTTTATCAATAGTCGTAGATCTGGAGCTCTCTCAGAACCTCCATAGGAGTAGGAGTAACTTAATGTAGATCTGTCTCGAGAGTCGTGTAAACATCGAACACCCTCGTTCGAACTGTGTTTGAAGAGGTGTGAACCGTGTTTAGTGATCGTTGTCCAAAGAAGTCAAAGGTGCAATCAATTTATTTTCAACGCAAGTTTTCTCGCCGGGAAACAGTAATCCAAATTAGTAATAAAAACCAAAGTATATAAATATGCGATGAAATTATCTTATTCAAGCAAAAAACTGTATAGATTAATGTGATTTTAGGTGACTCAATTGTGTTGTTTGTTTGTGTCAAACTATGACCATTAAATCTGACTGATCTTTCTTCTAGTTCTCAAGTTTGGGTCAGAAAATGACATTTTTAGTTTAAAGGGTCCTCTACTTGTGAAGTCTCAAGTCAGCTTTCAAAGGATGCTTTGGTTCCAACTAGTTAGTCACCCACCCAATCAAAATGGTTTTTAATTAGAAAGGAAATTCAATTTCTGCCATGAGGAGGAGTAGTGGCTTTAATCATTCAGTTGTTGTTGTTGCACATTTTCCCCCTTTGTTACATCAGCTTCTGTTGTAGACAGCCCCAACTCACTGAAGAAGTTGGAGAAATCGTTTCAAAATCATTACTCCTGCAAAAAAAAAAAAAAAAAAAAAAAACAGCAATGATTAGAAAGGCCAGCTTAATTGTTCCACGAAAATTAACAATTGTGGTTTTAGAAATCATCATTTACAACTACTTCTATTGGCAATCTTTAACTTGAAAGTCTTGTGTATTTCGTTGTAATTTGAAATCCGAAGTGCAATAGTTTATTTAGGTTAAGCATCACATTTGAGATAGTCATATATTTTCATTATAGTGAGTAAAAATTCGGTAGTTATTGAAACGGGTGTTTATTTTACCACCCATCTATTCATAGTTTAACTAACATATCTAACCTCGTACATGATGACCATTCTTTTAAGTGTTGTCAATGACAAGCTAAGACGACAAACAAAGTTGCATCTCTATATATTCCATGAATTCAATTACTCAAACACCATTGATAAGAGCAACAAAAAAAAAAAATGGTTCCTGATTTGTGATTTCTTTTCCTGGGAGAAGTGTACACTTTCTGTGTCATCTTGAGAATCAAAATCATTTGCCTACTTGAGACCTCATACTCAGAGCATGAGAACTGCAGTGTGAAACGAAAGCTCTCTGCCTTTTCTCACTAAACACACTAAAAAATCAGTATAAACTCAAAAGTACAGCAAAATGGAGAGAGAGAGAGGGAACCAACTCCATTTTTTAAATCAGAAGTCAGAACACAAAATTCTTGATAAATAAACAAATAGTTAGTTGATGGAGTGTACAATACAAAGGAAGGAAGGAAACTTTGAAGAGTGCAGCAAAGCAAGTGAGCAGAGCAGCAGAGTGCCCCCAAAGTGAGCACAGCTGGAAGAGGCCAGCAAGACACATGCAAAACTGGACACATTAACATATTTTCGTATCAGAGACTAAATCGACGAGCCTTATTGATAGTTCAATACAAATCATGAAATATTCGTCATATACGAATCGTAAATTTCAACGAAATTTATCGAAATAGTTAGCTATCCGTTTATGTCGCGAGCAAAACGACTATTCTCGAGGAGACAGACTGAGTGAGTATGAGTATGACTGCCTACCTCGAATGAAGGTTGCATTTTGTACCAACCAACAAACTAACATTGGCCCAAACGCAACAAATATAAATTCCCCCTCTGCCTGCCACTTTACCATAACTCCTGAAAACTTGCCCGACTGACACACCATGAACAAGAACCGAATCAAATCAACAAATCGTAAATAAATAAATAAACCAACACAGGACCGCAGAGTGGAAGGAGGGAAGTATCTGTTTGAAGCAAAGCCAATTTGCCAGCTTTAGCATTCAATGAAGTTTGCCATAAAAAACACACACACAAATCCGGATCAACACCATTTTATAGTCAGCAGCCAGCAATGAAAGCAACCAAACAACGGAGGAAGGAAGTTCTTGAAGTTCATCATCTATGGCGGTGGGCTTTCAGTTTTTCCCAATGAATTTGTGATATATACCCACTTCGCCAAAATCCTAAAATAACCCTCAAAAACGAGAATTCTGATTCGAGATTTTGTTACCGGACCCTACCCTGAATTCGGAGAAATTTAAGCATCTGAAACCACGCTCGCACTAAACTCGTCGTCTTCCACGGGAGCTGGCAAGTTGAGATCCAGAAAGCTGTAATTTTTGTCGATTTTGGGCGCTGCCGGAGGCGGTGGTGGTGGGTTAGCCGCTGCTGCCGGCGACGGGTAGGAACCGCCTCCGGTGAGATGTGATCTCTTGTGCCCGCCCAGTGCTTGACCCGACCCGAACACCTTGTAGCAATACGGGCACTGGAAAATCCTCTCTGCCGCCACCGCTGCCACCACATTCCCCATTCCGCCGCCGCTGAGCTGGGTTCCGTTGAGAGAGCAAATCCGGCGGTGGGATCCTAATGCCTGTGAGGATCGGAACTGTTTCATACATTTCTCGCACTTCAACTTCTTCCCCCGATTTCTTCCGCTGCTGCTACTTCGCTTCTCGATTTCTCCTCCATTTCCCGTCTTTTCCCCTTCTCCCTCTTCAATTTCGTCGCTTTCGTAACTGAATCTTCGCTTCCAGTTCACGTCCCTCGACAGCATCACCAGGCACATCGCCACGTCTTCTTCAGGGGAAGCATCGGAAACAGAGCTCACCGGTTCTTGCTCTGCCGCCGCAGGCGGCGTCGATTCGAGAATCCAACTCTGATTCTCCGCCAATCCCTTCTTATTCTCATCTCCGCCCGAGTTCCGGGTCCGCTTGGATCGCCTCCGGCTCGGGTTCCTCGACTCGGTCTCGCTCTCTCTGTCCTGCACGACGGAGGAAGACCCGGCGAAAGAGAACTCGGGATCCGCGACCCGGAAGCTCTTCCTCGGGTTCTCCCTCAACCCGTAAATCCCATCTCCGCCTCCGCCGAAGCCTCCAGCTTCCACCACCGCCGCCGCTGCCGGCCTGCTCTGCTCCACTTCCAGCTCATCTTCTTCGTCTGAATACGAAAACGAGGACGACGATTCAATTGCCGGGTCGTAGTCGGGTCGACGGCGACGAGGAGTAGCAGCGGGAGGAGGAGATTTGGGAGGGATACGGAGCTTGGCCAAGTGGGATTTCATGTGGCCGCCCAAAGATCTTCCATTGGGGAACACTCTGAAACAGAGCTTGCATTTGTGCCTCTCCATGAGCTCCCCTTTTTTCACTCTCTTTCTCTCTCGCAGATAGAAACAAGAAAGCAGAAGAAGATGGAAGGTGGAAGGAGAAAAGAGAAGATTTTGTTGAGGAGGGGAAGTTAAAAGGAGTAGGTGACAAGCATTCTTCCACCAAAAGTACAGAATTCCACAGACCCAAAGCTTATGAGATTGCACATTTGCAGGCAGAGAGAGAGAGAGAGAGAGAGAGAGAGAGAGTAAAGAGGGGAAAGGAAACAAACTAATAAAAACCCAAAACAGTTGTACACAAGGGGTGGATTTACATAAACGGGGTCACTGAACTTTCAGTTCTAACCAACAAGTCATTAAGTTTTAAGATAAGTGCCATAACAACCATGTTAATTTATCTGTGCGCTTTGAGTTCTTTTTTTTTTTTTGGGTTGAAAGCGCTTTTGAAATCTTTATCGGTAATATTAACAATGAAAACCAGTATACAGATATTTATTAATTAACATGGAGAAACTACTTTAAATCTACACGATCCAAATCAAACTTTGGGGGCTTTTTTGGATTCGTTTTTATTAATCAAACCTATCGAAATACTAAAAATTAGTCAAGTATTAATTTTCAGTTAGCAATTTTGTAAAGTAATATTGACTTGGTAACAAGATACTGACTTAGAAGAGACACGTGAAGGTCAACATTCGAAAATTTTAGTATTTTAACTAAGAAAATATATACAAAATTATTAACGATAACGTAAATATGGCTAATATGTTGATGCATTACGAAAGATTTGATTAATAAATAATATTTTAAGAGGTTTATATAATATAAAATAATTTTAAAAAGATTTTGATAAAAAATAGACATTACCTTCAAACTTTTATTCGACTCTATCTTAACTCAAATTACCCTTATCCCGTAGTTCACCACAAGATTTAAGTGGACATTTTTATACATTTTAAGTTTAGTGAGTTTATATGCTCATGTGTTACTTTGAATTAAAAATTAAAGCAATTTTAGTTACTTCTTTGTTGAAATATAAAGTTAAGCTGACTGATTTGTTAGTGACACAAAGTCTAGTTATGTATATAGAATTGGCTTGCACCAAAGGGGAAAAATACTTATTTTTTTCTTCTGCATTGAGAAATTCTCTATTTGGCATAGCATTTTCATCTTATTCAATTTTCTATTATAAATGGATATCCAGTGTGAATCAACCACCTTGTCCAATAGTAAAATGTTCCTTGGGAGGTTCTTTATTAAATAGTAACCATTCCATGGACATTTTACTTCCACGATGCTTTCAAGTTCTTTTGGAAATAAGAATCATTTAGTGCTTGCTTAATTCTTATCCTTGCCACTTATCAACATTTCATCATATCCAACTAATTCATTTTATCAGAAAGTTGAAATTCAAAATGAGTGGTATTTATATTTTTCGAGTTCTTATCACCTATACTTAAACTATACACATACGTTGATCGTCTCTGATCCAAATGTTAAAATTGAAGTATTAATAACTCGGTTGAGATCCTTGATCGCCAAACTTTCTAATACGAGATATTGATGTTGTTACACTTTTCCCCTTTCTTCTTCCAAATGATGTAGCTAGAGAGCATTCAAGAGGATTTTTGCCCAGAATTTGTAAACTGATTCTCAAAATTCTAGCAAGTAGAAACAAACTCATGGAAACGGTGTGGATGAAACGATTGAGAAGAAAAGGGAAGAAAGAAATAATCAGAAAGTGTGATGATGAATGGAGAAAGAGGGACAAGTAACATGCAAACTTTACCATTTCGGTAACCCTCCAACTCCCTTTTCTTCCTACCACTTTTGAGTTATGTCCTTAGAATAACAGAAGGGTTTTGTATTTTTTTAGGGCTAATGTCAAAAGGAGACATACATTTAGTTTCTCTAACAAAATAATACACACTTTTTTTTTGGTTTTCCATGACAAACATTTTTTGTGCGATAGAAATGAGAGGTTTCCTAATCACATGTTAGTTGTTACAAGTAAAAGAATATCCATGCGAATTAGTTTATCTAGTCGAAGGTACATGTTATGTTTTGGATCCGATGTATTGGTGTTTTTTGGTTCTTCATCATATACTTTGTCACTAGATATTGCACAACTATCAGTGGGTTTTTGTTTCTCGATTGGTTATTAGTGAATGATGTATGAGGTGTGCTTCTGCATCTAGTTACCAAAAAAATAGTTACAAAAAAAAATAGGCACGACAACCGACTGAGTAGGAATATGTACTGACAACAACATTTTTTTATAAGACTAATAACAATGTTGATTTATTCGTTAGTTATAACTGGAAATTCAATGGAATCATAGTATTGTTGGTGTTAAGTTATTCGTACTCGTAGCATATTTATCGCTCCGAATAAAGAAATGTCAATCTAGTCACAAATTTTCAAATAAGTCCCATTTTTATTACAAATTTGACTAAGGAAACACTATTTGAAAATTTTCAAATTGAAAGAGGGTAGAATGAGAGTGGTACCCAATTGCTACATGAACCATCATGGTTTTTTTTCTTCTTACTTTCTTCCTTTTTTATGTGATCCTTTGAGCATTTAAAAGGGAGCCATGCATCCATCTATATATTAATTGGAAAATTGGCTCCAATTTGAAATCAGATGAAATGGAAGAAAGATAATTTTGGGGGGGTTCGGATTTGGCCACCAATTTTTCAGGGTTTAACTTTCTGGTGCCCAGCTGCATGACTTTGAGCTATACAACTTTGCTTTTTTCTTTGCTTGTTTTTATCTCGTCAAGACGTCAACAAAATCGGATTGCCAACGTAGTAAACTAGTAATGTGATGCTCTTGTTCAAATCCTCGTTTCGAACATCAGGGGACGTGTATGTATATACCGGCCACGAGTCACTCTTACCGTTAGAATAATTTCCTTGTCGATCCATCGAAGATTGAATGAGGGACATTTACCCTCTCATTTTGTTTACATAGTTTTGATACGTAGTTCGAGTTTATATATTTGACGCTTAATTTGTATGCTTCTAAAGTATGCAAATTCCTAATACCGGGTAGTCGTACTTTGTGACCATTTCAGAAACAAAACAAAAGCTTCCATCAACCATGACACATTTGATATGTCGAACTACTGACTAGATAGAAGCGTTACCAATGTTTGACCTTTGAACAAATATTAATTGACCCTTACTTTAGACTGGTAGTGAATTTAATTGAATTGAAGGATGAGAAAACTGATTGAAGTTTAGGGGCACTGGATCGTTGAAATGAATTAAATTAAATGTGGGACAAGAAGGGAAATAAAATGAATGGGAAAAAAGAAGAAATCAATGGGAAGTAAATAGTAATTAAATAGGGAGCTGGCGCCTTAATTACCATTTACCACAGAGACTCCACATCCAAGTATTAATTGCATTTCTGTAATTGCAAAAATAACAAGGCATATCTTATCCTATCAATTAATTGATCAGTTACGCAGAAAACTAGCTAGCAGCTAAATGTGGAATAAGTTTCCTGTCAATACTCTAATTACTCTCTTCGAAATTTTACAATGCTATATAGTATTGGTGCTATAAGATTTTGCCTTTATGGTACAACTTAAAATTGTACATTTATGTTATGGTACAACTTCAGATTGTACCTATACTTTTTGTACAAATTCTTTTATGGTACAACTTGAACTTGTACTTTTATGTGATGGTACAACTTCAAGTTGTAAAGTTATACCATAACATAATGGTACAAATTGCTTTATGGTACAACCTAAACTTATACATTTAATGTTATGGTACAACTTTAAGTTGTACATTAAAGCACCAATACTAGTAGAAGTGCTCTTACTCTCTACTCTTAAAAGGATATATCAGCCGCTGGAATAACCGCGAGGCAAGTTCAAGCGGTGATCTCGATATTTATACTCGTTCTTTTTAAATTGGGTAATGTATTATGGGGTGCGGGTCGGAGCAAGTCGACCTCATTTGAGTATGTAATTTAAAAGAAAAATATTAGAAATATTTATATTTCTCATTTAAAAATACACGAATAAACTATAGTATGATAATTATAATTAAATTATTCAATAATTTGAGGTTCTCACGTATTAAAAACTTCATTATAGCTAAAAATATGTGATAATAAAAGTAAAATTCTAAGTAATTTGAGTAAAATTACATGTAATTTATGCAAAACAACAAAATGGATAATTACCGGCGAAAAAAATGGGTAAAAGTGTGGCTAGTCATGAAGGGCCACGCCGAGGAGAGTATACATGCCCACCCCTCCTCAGGTCAAATAGATCGGTTAAAATGGATCGAATCGAAATTGTCATCTCAAATCAACAACAACAAAAAATATGCAAACAAATTTAAAATTATGAGTAGTACGTAGAGGTGGCAATTCTCAATCCAATCCACCAACCCATTAAAAATATCCACATAATCCAATCCATTTGATCCAAATCCAATTGGATGGGTGGATTCATGGATTGATCAATGGATCCAAATGGCAAATTACGGTTTGATACCTATAGTTTTTATATTTTACATTTTGGTATACAAAATTTAATTTTTATACGAAAATATCATTGGAAAATTACGTTTTGGTACCTAAAAATTTTCATTATGACATTTTAATACCTAAACTTTTCACATTTTACATATTGGTCCTTGCTTGAGGATATCATTTGGATTCGTGGATAATCCACTAATCCACTTGATCCAATCCATGAATCTACCAGTCCATTAGATCCAATCTATTTAATCCATGGATCAATCCATTTGCCACCACTAATAGTAGTAATGTAGTATAGTACGTTAGATTTTACATTTTACTTTTGCTTTTTTGTTGGCATTTGTGACCATCCGAACTTGAAAGGGATAAGGACATGTAAAAAGGAACGAAACATATACCAAGATGAATAGTCTCTATATGACATTCAGGTTGTTAAGTGTCATGAGAATGAGTAACAATATACCCACACTAATGTCATAATCAGTTTTATTAAAGTGAGTCGAGCTGCTCGGCCCGACCGGTAAAACCGCCACCCGATCACAAAACCGGCTCGGAACAGTATAAAAGTCGCTTCGGTTTTATGTAGTGGTTGACGAGCGGTCGAGGCGGTTAACCGCTCGTGCCGATAGAGCTGCTCGTCCTGTTTTTGTCATTCAGCCGTTAAATTTAATTAAAAAAATTGCAAAAAATTAAAAATTGAAAGAAACAAAAAACGTCGGGCTCTCAAACTGAATCCTTATTTCCATTTCACAATTTCAAATGAAAGAGACGAGCTCTTATTAAGAAATGTCTACTATTTATACTGACAACGTTATTAGGTACCGATTCTCTAACGATTTTTAAACGGTCTAATGTCGGTTGGACCACTAAAATGCGAGTCGTTCGCATTACCGGGTCATACTCCGGTTCGATTCTGACAACATTGGTCATAATACATTCTCGTGCTCCATACGAAGACCTCATTTTTCGCAACTCGAGACATACTCTCGTTTCCATCTCTTCAAATAAAAAAAACTCACAACATTACTTTCAATTCTCCCAATAAAACACAGTTCACATTTATCTACCAGCGTAAAAACAAAACATGAATCGATGGCCATCCCTTCATTTCTACTTATACATATGCTTGTCTCGCACGATCCTTATCCACATTTCACAAACAAATATCGTCAGTTGATACAAACTATGAATCAAAACCTACAAATCATCGTCGTCATCATCCTTTGGTCAGTCCAATGCATCCGAACGAATCCGGCAGAAATTAAACGCGGTAACTCGTTCCAAAACCAAAAGACATCATCTCTGCGGATCGGAGGTAATTAATTAGTAAAACCCAGCGTTGTTAGTTAGCTGCCGACCGAAATGTGTGTGTTTTGCGAGTTGGGTGGTACATAATCAGCCCATAATAAAGCGACAACAAAAGAGAAACCGGAACCAGACCGGTTCCAATCTGTCCAATCAGAGGAACCCATTAGGATTAGGAAAGCCGAAAGCTTTACATAGGACAACAAAACCCACCCGCAGTTCGTGTCTTGTCGATTTGGCTTTTCTCTTCTCTTCTCTTCTCTTCTTTCTTCTTCTCGACACTCTAGAGAGAGAGAGAGAGAGAGAGAGAGAGAGAGGTGCAGTGGAGCCCAACTTGTGCTTTTCTGTACCCTTTCCTTGTGAGCTTTACAGTGCAAAGCCCTTTTTTCCATAAACACTCAACGTCAAAGATACTCTAAACCCACCCCCGCCGGTCAGTGGAGTGGAGGGGACAACAGCAAAAAGGAACACTTCACCGGCCAGTTTAGGACGACGCCGTTTACCTGCTTTTTCTTCTTATTCTTATTCTTTTATTCTCTCATTCATCACTCACATTGCTCATTCATTGGTCATTACTACTACGAATCTATGATGGATCTTGTCTATAGGGTCGGCAGCAGCTGGGTTTGGTGTGTAACCATTTTTTTTTTTTTTGCACATTCTTGTTGTTGAATCAACGGTTTCAATGTATTGAGGCTTCATAAAATTGAATCAACTACAATTTGATTGTTTATCTCTTTAAAATTTTAGGCGTTTGACGAAAAACAAAATGAAACAACTTTTAAAGTAAAGAGTATTCGAATTAGACATGAATTCGGACATGACATGTACCAAATAATGATTCTATCGCGTGTAAAACGATATTCTTATCTACGCTAATCTGTATAACGATTCAACGTGGGGTGGGGGGGATCTGTAGAATGCTTTATAGTGCGACATCAAGTTTAATGTGTGTTGTTTTACTAATGTTGTAAGATTTTCTCGTTTTCTTTTCCTTGTATACCCATTTCTCTAATTTTATGTTTAAGAATTTTTATTTTCATTTTGCTTATTGGGTGGAAACAATGTGAGTTGATTAGGTTTGAAGTAGAGGTTGATTCTATAATTCTTGGACAATATATTACAGCATGCATTTGTTGAGGATGAGTTACGTTTGAATTACAATTGATGGGAGCTTGAGTTTTGTCTTCCTCTGGTAGGTTTGGTTTCCAGAACAGCTTGTTTTACGAGTATTTATATCTCTTGTCTTATTTGTTTTAGCTATAATTTAATTAGTGACTGATTTGGACCAATAAAATTGAAACAAAGTATGATCGTTGTTATAAGTAACAAAAAAAGTTAAAGACAAATACAATATCAATATTGATAATATTACGAGTTGAAAGACAATCATGTCATTTCTTAGGTACTTATTGATGAATGATAATCACAATGCAATTTTTTCTTTTATGTAATATATATATTGAACAACTGCTTTTTTGTGTTCATCGAAATATCTAAGGATATTCGGTTTATCAAGTGAATTAGATTCGATGGAGAATATCAATGTTAATGGACTCTGATTTCGATTGCATCAATTGTATCTCTTCCTGGTGAGTGGAGATACGTAATGAGACGATAACGGTTTTCGGTCTACCCTCTTGACCACAACATGATATTGTTTTGGAAATTTATATTCTTCTTTCCAATATTTTGGTTACACTTTAACCACATTTGAAGTACAAAATTATGCCGAGCTAGCTAGCTAGCCACATTTTGAATCCCCACTTTGCCTTGAAAAGTAGCTTACATATTGAAAAAAAATGAAAAATAAAAATAAAGGCCAAGTAGTGACTTGTGTACAATATCGTGCACCATGCGGACCAGAGAAAGTGTAGTTGGATTGTTGGATGTGACCCTTTCTCACATTTTGCTTATTAAAGTTTGGGATAGAAGAATCTCACTTAGACCCTAATCATTAGGTCATTATTATGTCAAAATTTATCATTATATCTTCGCCTAGTTACCAATTACCATTGTGGGCCATGCTCCTTGTAACCCCCAATATGGACCGTAATGGGAAATCCCTAGCTTTCGGCCCAGCCCAATATCTTCTGGCCCAATGCACAGTAATGACGACACCAATAAACGATTACATCAGACCTTCAAAAGTTGTAACACTAGGCACTAGCCATCATCAACAGCATGGTCGCATGGATGATTTCTAAGAGAACTATCAAATTTTTAAGTGTTTTTTTATGATCAATTTTGTAAGTTCATTAACTTGTTAGTGCACTAAGAAAGAGAATGAAATTACATTAAAACGAATCGTACACTTCTTATTTGTGTCGACTACTTATTTTCACTTAATTTCACTACATCTATGTGTTGAACAGAAGATCAATAATCCATAACCTTACACTATGAAGAGCTGGCTGGCTGGCACTTCAAAATAATAATAATAATAATAATAATAATCTGGTAAACGGTGGCTAGCTAGTTGGTTGTTGTTCCATGAAAAGCTCAACCATATGATTATGTGAATTAGCCAATGGGCAAGAGACAAAGGTGGAGGGAAAAGCGGCAGGAAGACAAGACAAGCTTAAATCATTCTAATTACACACACAAGCAAAGCAATCAACCGAACACAAGCAAAGAATCAGTCAGCCCTCGGTCGCTCTCTGCGGCCAACAGGTCCTCCTAGCAGGCTCACTAGGCAGCAGCAGCAGCAGGCACTAGCAACCACCTTCTCATCATAGCAAATCAACTGAGAGACCAATCACTTCATACATTCTATGTCTTGTATCGATACGGATATTTTTATTAAAGTGTTCCAGAGGAATTTACCGATCGTAGATAAATGTGTTGTGACTTTTACAGTCACGCAAGCGTCTTGTGAGATTTGGATTGTGATGACCAATCTCGACTTCTAAACTCTTTTCTCCAACAATTACATAGTAGATAACTAAGCACACTTAAACAAATGACTGTTTGAAATAGATAAGCTGGAGATTTTGTATGCAGTTACCGTCGTCATCATCTTAAGTATGATTGTCCGAGATAGAAAAAAAAAATGCAAATTACAAACTGACCATCATCTCATCCGTGATAAGGTTATGGATTTTCCCCCCTCTCTACATGCCTAAATTAAAACGCCAAAAAAAGAAAGAAGAAAAAAGACGTACGAATTAATTTACACTTTTTGGAATGAGTAAAACAAAAACAAATTTGTGGGTTTAACTTAGGAGAGGCTTCTGTGGGTCGAACTCACTACTTTGCAAAGGGTCAACGCCATCCGAATAGCCTTCTTTCCCTTTTGCCCACAAAAAGAAGTAGAGCCCCGTGAACATCAACAACATCCCTGACAGGCTGCCCCCAAAAACAACATCATTAGCAATCTTGGTTGAATGATTATGAGTTAATGATATCTCTAAACAATGTCCCATGTCATTAGACAAATAATACGTTCATGTACCATAAGAGACTGTCAATAGCTCTAAGTTGTTGTATTACTATGTACTTTATATGTTCTTGTTCCTTCTTTTAAATTTGTCTTTGATTACTATCAGGATTCACTCATATTCCATGGGGTGTTTCACCATTTAAATCTTTTCTAATACAATATTTCACCCTTCAATTCTATTCCTAACCCCCACATCGATCTCTTCTCAGTTTTACATTTTATATATTCATCATTTGGGAATTCATAGTCGGATTGGTGGTCCGAAAGATATATTTTCGGTATGTGGCATGTGAGCCAACAGAAATGTGCTTGTTAAGCATGAATCGACCTACCACTAACAAAATTTGTAATTTTAGCAAAATGTGGATTACATAGTGCACTAAAACATTTTTATCACCAATCTCAATAAAAGCTTGCAACAGAAATGTTTTTATCACTAAAACATTTTTTCGGTATGTGGCATGTGAGCCAACAGAAATGTGCTTGTTAAGCATGAATCGACCTACCACTAACAAAATTTGTAATTTTAGCAAAATGTGGATTACATAGTGCACTAAAACATTTTTATCACCAATCTCAATAAAAGCTTGCAAAATAGTATTTAACTTGTGTCATGGTTCATGTGTATACTAACTCACCTTCCAATGTTGATGGTCTCTCCCAATGTGACAACTGAGAGAACAACTGAAATGACTGTCCCAATTGGGCTGAACATGGCAACCAAAACTGGGCCTCTCTTCTTCATGGCCCATCCATTGAAGCTCACACATGCTCCTCCCACCGCACCTCCCTGTTTCCATCCCATTGGAAGAATTCATGTCAATTCATGGACTCGAGAATTTGAATTCAGGCATAAATAAAATTGGATATCAAAATAGGAAGAAGTGCAATGTTTTTTTTTACCACTAAGGAATACCCAACGAGATCCCTAACATCCACGAGAGGGAAGAAAACATCCCAAGTCTGGCCTTGAAGAAGCTGCACAATTACAGTTATCACCACACCAATCACCGATGTTATGGAACATAACGACATTGGTGCTGGAAAATCACCCAACGTTGTTGCCTGCAAAGTGTTAAAACAAAATTATGTCGTGTTATCCTACATCAGTTAGAGTGAAAACAACTATAAAGGTCAACAGATAAATCAAAGTCTAATCCACTACAATTTCGATTATAGATAACTATCGTGGACCCTGTTTATAAACACAACATAGGACTCGATCGATTGACAAAAAAAAGTTATCCATCAGCCACATGAATCGACCCGCCAGGACCTACCGTGCATCCCGGACCAACCAATTCAAGTTGTCACCTGATGTTACCCGTGAGCATCGTGATCCAATACAATACCAATTCGGTTTGCAAATTACTATCCTCTTAATCTAACATAATGTGATCGGGTACATACATTAGAACCTAATCCGACCCATTTGCCACCAACATTTTTGCAATCTAAATCAAAATTTATCCGTTACTAGCCAATCAAAAGACAACCTGTCCCCCGACGATTTAACCATTTCGGGGCGAGGAATCCGGTAACATAACAATAGAGAAAGAAGATAGAGTGCTTTTACCTGTAACACGACATTGCTAGAGAGCACAAAAACTGCAGCCATGAGGTACAAGCAACCGACTAACTTGTCCTTGTCGATGAAAACATCAGTAGGGGATGCGATGAAGGCAGGCTCCTTGATTGTGCTACTATGCATGAAACTCATAGTTAAGGCACCAACAACACACAACAACGTTCCAATGATCTTCACCTTGCTATAAATGCATCCAATTCTAACCCTTTCCATCCTGTAATATGCGTAGTTTCAGTTCTTATAGAACTCAGAATTTGAGATTATGCATTAGGTTTCAGACAAGATAGATGTTGAAAGTTACCTTAGTGTCCAAGCAATGATGAAAATCAAGCCTGGAGAAAGGTTTGGCATGGCTGTTGCCAAGGCCGGAGAAGTGAGGTTAATTCCCTTGAGGAAGAAAGATTGGAACAAGGTCACTCTGCAGAAAATCACATCACCCCATTGTAGTTATAAGTTGGTTTGTGGTAATAACAATTACTGTGGAGACATCTAATCCTGAGTCGTCATATATTCAGTATTTCGATTTCGTTGATTTTTCACTGTAATGGATATAATTGTTAGTAAGGAATTAAGAAAATCTGGTTTGTTGATGGTTAGTAATGTCGATTGCAAATCAAGGTTTGTCGCTTGATCGTTTTGTTGCTCAATATAACTTTTTGTGACATGAGCAGAATAAGATTCTTTCAGGGTAAAAAAAATCGATAACCACGAAATGATTAAATTATACGATTTCTTTTTCATGTTTTGCTTACCCTCCGAATGAAATGAGAACCAATTGGGTAACAAGCATGAAGCTGATTCTCTTGGGCCATTTCCTCCTATAAGAACAACAGCAGAATGTAAGAAATCAGAAATGAAGTTGATATCATCCATTTTCATGGACATAGTTCCTATCTATACTGACCTTTCAAAGTAGAAAGCAAAAGGGGAGGTGATGAGGAATGTGGCAAAAGTGGAGAAGATGACAATGGTGAGAGGGGTAAGCCCAAGAGACATCAAATAGCTCAACAGAACTGAATTCCCAGCATACACAAATTGCACCAGAATCAGCCCTCCACCTATTATCAGATTTTCCAACACCTCCTTCTTCATGTTCAAAGCTGATGCCACCCTCATTCTTGTTGCCTCCCTGATAATTAATCCTCTTTTTTTTTTCTTCTTCTTTTAATCAATCAAACACAACACCTAAAACTCGAACTTTTCTCTCGCCCCTTTGTTCCTCCCGATGCAGAAAGACCGAAGGATGCTCGAATCAACAGAAATAACTAATTTCTTCAGCTTTCATCGAGAAACGGTCATAACCTTGCTGTTTTTTTTTGTATAATCCACATGAACAATTATGCGCACGAATGTAGTCGTGATTCGAGATGATGGTGAATCAATGTTTTTTTTTTCTTGTCTTCTTCTGCTTCTTTATTGCCTCCCAATTGTTCTTCTGTCATGCCATGAAATACTATGGTATGAGAAAAACAAGAAGGCTGCAGCCTCTGTCTTGCTTGGAGGAGGGGATAGATAATTTTGAGGTTTTTTTTATTTTTTATTTTCTGTATATGGAAAATTATGTTTATCTGGGTACATGGAAATATTTGTTGATAAATTTTGTTTTTGTTTTCTCTCTTTTTATTTTACAAAAGTTCCATTGATCTTTTTCTTTGTTCTTCAGGATTTCTTTGCCTGTGAACCTAACATTCCTATGGTTTTGTTGCTTGCTCCTCATCATTCGCAAGAAAGAGATGCTTGGTATTACTATGTTTAGCAATTTTACCCTAGATTGTCGCAGCCTCTCTTTCCCAAATTTATTTTCTGCAATTTTTGGATTAGATTTGTTCTACATGGTTTCGAGGGATTCATTGTAAGGTGGGTTCAAATTTTTTAGAAAAACTATGATAATATAATTTTTATTAACAATTTTATTGCGGGAGAAAATTTGTAAAATATAATTATGGTTCAATTTATTCGTATTATGGACTCTCGATTCATCCTACAAAATAATCGATTCGTATACATGTTTACTTTGATACATGTCTATAATGTATTTTGACCAAATATGGGGGTTCACCTGCTTGAGACTTTCGGGCTCTCGATCAAGATCTCTATTAAATGCTTCTGAGAACATCATGATAGAACCCGAGATTAGGGTTCTATCGGGAATTGGTGATTTAGGGATTAAGAACAGAATTAGGGATTTGAGAAGAGAAAGATAGAGAATCGGCCTAGGCCTTTAGAGAGATTGAGAACGAGAATTGAGAGGATAGGGAGATTAGAGTTTAGGAGAGTTTTCTTAATATTCTTCTTATTGATTCCGAATGAATAGGCCTAGTACATATTTATAACGAATATAGGGAAACCCTACTAATAAACCTAATTCTACTAGAATACTACTAACCATAATAAGAATTACCCTATTAGTAGTAATAATAATAAATATAGAAACCCTAACGAAGTTGGTTTCCATCATCTCCTCCCCCTTCAAACCAACCTTGTCCTCAAGGTTGACCGACTCGACCCATTTCTTCATCCTACCTCCCGTGTAGATCGCGCCTTGTCTCCTCCACTTTTTGAGCTTCCTTTTCTTCCAATCATGCTCCATCTTTTGAATTGGGCTTCTTCCACCGACCTTTTCGTGTTGATGTAATTCTTTGGCTTTCACTTCCGTGGGCTCCCTAATTGCTTCTTCGATAATTTCGAACTTCAACAACTCCTCTTTTGTTGGCAACATTGTCAAGTCACTTAAACAATTCAAGGGTACTTTATTGCAGAAGAACTTATCCTTGAATACCAACTCATCAATGCCCTCAAAACTCTTTCTTGGGTTTAGCCAATTTAATTGCATTATACCTTCTCCACATGCTTTTAGGCCAGCATTTCTTGAAAGCCTACCAGCTAAACCCTTCAACTCCTCTTCCTTCAAGTTCACCTTCACCATAACATAATCTGTAATGGGCTCAATTGCTCCTTGCAGATGCGGCCCAATGAGATCACTCTTCGGCCCATTCCACTGGTGCGACCCGCCCGGGACGAGCCTAACAGAAGTCGGCCCGTGTTCCAGGCCTGCGCGGCCCACTTCCTCCCCCTGTTGCAGTAGACTCGGCCCAACTAGAAGCAACCCAACTTGGCCCACTCTGCTGACTCGGGCCGAAAGTGGCAGCCTCCTGCCTAGGGTTCACGAACGAGAGGAAGATGGAGCCCTCTTCTTCGATCGCCGACATCTCCTTTGTCGACCACTCTTTCGCCAGCTTCGTCTTCCCCTCCATCGCCATTACTTCCTCCGGCGGCGATGGGTTCCTCAGGCGGTGTAGAGACAAGCTCGACCCGGCCACCCTTGTCCACGACTCCGTCTCCCCGAGCTCGCCGCCCGTCTCCGTCGTTGCCCCTCTCCCCGGCGGCGTCTCCTCGCGCAGCTCTGACATCTCAAAACGCTGCTCCGGCGGACAACCATCACCTCTGCCCGCTCCATCCTTCTTTTTTCTCGGCGAAGAACCCTTCTTCGCCTCGACGGTTCGCGAGGCCTCCCCGACGACTACCGTCATCTCCCGCTCCGTCTCTACTTCTCTTCTACGGTCAACGCCGACATAGCGCTTCTTCAATTCCTTCTCCGGCGTTGAGTAGATCGTCAAGCGATGGAAAATAGATCCTGAGGCCACGCCGCTCACCGTCAATTCTTTCTCCCAGTCGATCGACGACACGACGTGAGCTGTCGCCGATTGCTGCTTCCCTGGTCGTCGCGACTGCCACGAGTCGACCCAGGCTTTCGTCATTGCAAACAGCCGCCGATGCTCAGCTTCACGTTGGCGGTTGAATCTGTCTCCGATCTTTGGTTTCCACTTCTGCTTCTTCTTCTTCCTCCTCCTAGGCGAGTAGAGGGTCCTGCCGACATCGTCCGCCTTCCTTCCCCGTGGAGACAAGCTGCTTCCCCGCCATCCCGGAGTCCCTCCTGCTTCTAGTCTCGCCGATGTCATCATCTTCTCTGACTCGGCCGAGAGCAGCTTTTCGCCGAGGCTAGCGGTGAATTTGGCACCAACAACTTGTGTGCTTGTTTCAATGGGGGTGAAAGTTGCTGGTGTAGCCAAGAACTGATGCTGCTCTTCCTTGTCTCCAGCGTCCGGGTCTTCTTCCTCGACCACAGCTGAACCAATTACGGCGGCGATTTCAGCCGCCACTGGTGGTGGTTGCTGAGTCACCTTAGCCTCATCTCCCGAGGTCAAGGACTCCTTTCCCACTACCTCGTAGTCAGCGGCTTCCTCCATGACTGCCGAGCCCTTCTCGCGCGCCGTCGCGGCTTGGTCGGCGCAGATTGCGTCGATTCGTTGCATCATACGGTTCCAAAACGGATCAGAGAGCCATGAAGAGCTCATGTTGGCTCTGATACCAATTGATAGAACCCGAGATTAGGGTTCTATCGGGAATTGGGGATTTAGGGATTAATAACAGAATTAGGGATTTGAGAAGAGAAAGATAGAGAATCGGCCTAGGCATTTAGAGAGAGTGGGAATGAGAATTGAGAGGATAGGGAGATTAGAGTTTAGGAGAGTTTTCTTAATATTCTTCTTATTGATTCTGAATGAATAAGCCTAGTACATATTTATAACGAATATAGGGAAACCCTACTAATAAACCTAATTCTACTAGAATACTACTAACCATAATAAGAATTACCCTATTAGTAGTAATAATAATAAAAATAAAAACCCTAACTAAGTTGGTTTCCATCACATCATAACAGTCTCAGTAGGGTCAAATATGGAATCTGTCACTTCCCGAAACGAACTCACTAAGAATTTCATCGCTAGCCTATTTGACCTTTGGCATATCTTGTTTCTAAATGGTTAAAACTTAAAAGTGAATTTGTAAATGACAATAACACTCTGTTCACGAAGGAAGGGAGGAAAATGGAGGGAAAGGAAAATGAAAGGGAAAGGAAAAGGAGGTGAGAGAAAATTTGGAGTGGAGGGAAAATGTTGTTTTATGAAGGAAAGTATGAGGAAAAGTGAGAGGGATAAGTATATTTGGAAGTGTGATAGATATGTTATTTTATTGGTTATAAAATTGTAAAATAGTTTAATTATGTGTTAATGTTAGTTCCATTACTTATGAATAACAAGGTTGTCAAACCGGTTTAAGTCGTAGAACCGATCTAATATATAGTTTGAAGTTTATTGGTCTGATTGGGGTCCGACATATTTGAGTCGTTTTTTGTCTTCTACCATTATGGTATATTTTATTACCATGAACATATGACCATCAAATATACCATATCTACTTGGATGATGATAGACGATTTTTATAATATGACGGACAATATGCTACGATAGTAATTGAAATAATAATCAATGTTATTTTGTGTGTGAGAGAGAAATGGAAGTTCATAAAATATAAGTACTTAAAAACAAGTATTTGATGGACTTAATTATTAGAAAATATTTTAAAAAAAAAGAACCACATATGTGTCCCTCTCCTTTCTCTCCAAATTGGAGGGAAGGGTTCAACTATAAAAGGTAGAAAGTTTTCCCTCCTTCCATACTTTCCTTCCTTAAAAACAATGGAAAACTCATTGAGAATCCCACTTTCCTTCCTCACTTTCCCTTCCCCTCCATTTCCCTCCTTAAAAAACATAGTGTAAATTACTCGAAATGCTGCTTAGAACTCTTTAATTTAAGGTTCGTGAAGCATTTGTTAGTAGTTCAAATTTCCCACCAAAAATAACAGATGCGAATTCTCCTCCTGAAGGCACTTCAAATTTCTCCCCTGCAACGCAACTTTCGGTTCTCCACTTCAACATTCCCCGACAACTTCTCTATCCAGCTTCTCCTTAAACCCATTGAATCATGGCTTGCCCGCGGGAACTCCGCTGGATCGAGTTTAGATCAGGCATTTCCACGAGTACTGGAGTTGCTCAACTCCGGCGTCGAGGGAACTGGGTATGCGCTGATTCACCTGATCCGCACTTCCACGGACCTGGGCCTGGAATCTTACTGCCATCAGCTCCACGGTTACGTTATCAGATGTGGGTTCGCCTCCGATGTCCTCGTCTCCACGGCTTTGATGCGGTTTTACAAGGAGACGAAGTCGGTGTGTGTAGCACACAATGTGTTCGACGAAATTCCCCAGCCAAGCGTAGTTTCATGGAACACTCTGATTTCAGGGTACGTGCAGTCCGGGAAGTTTAAGAAAGCTTTGGGTTTATTTATGCAGCTCGAAAGGTCTGATGTCTGCACAGATGCCTACTCGATTACAGCAGCTTTATCTGCTTGTGGCCAACTGAGTATGGTACAGTTTGGCAGGTCAGTTCACAGCAAGGTCTTTAAATGTGGTGTAGGATTTGGCGTTTTCGTACAGAATTGCTTGATTGATATGTATGGAAAATGTGGTTCAATCGAGGAGGCGATTCGGGCCTTTGAAGAAATGGATGAAAGGGACATAATTTCTTGGAATTCGGTTGTAGCAGCAAGTGCTAGAAACCGGAGGCTTGATTTGGCCAAAAGTTTCTTCAGTCAAATGCCTCAGCCTGATGCGGTATCATATAATGAACTTATCAATGGTATAGCCCAGTTTGGTCGTATAGAAGATGCTATTGAGATCTTATTGACCATGCCAAACCCCAATTCATCTTCATGGAACTCCATTCTTACCGGGTATGTCAACAGAGACAGAGCAGTAGAAGCGATGGATTTCTTCACTATGATGCACTCGAATAACGTTATAATGGATGAGTATTCATATTCCAGTTTGCTAACTGGAATCGCTGGTATTGTTGCTCTGAGATGGGGAATGGCCATCCATTGTTGCACAATAAAGTGTGGCTTAGCAGCAACCATTGTGGTGGGGAGTTCTATCATCGATATGTACTCCAAATGTGGTGAAGTGAGCACTGCTGAATCGGCATTTCGTTTGCTGCCTCGAAAGAATTTGGTTACATGGAATGCAATGATGGCAGGGTACGCTCAGAGTGGGGGTTTCGAGAAGGCAATCCAACTATTCGAGGAAATGAAGGATGTGAAGGGTTTGGAGCCTGATTGGATCACATTTCTAAATGTCATAGCTTCATGCTCGAATGTCAACGTGTCACTGGAGACTGCAACTCGATATTTCGAATCCATGATCAACGATTATGGAATCACACCAGCTGTGGAGCACTGTTGTTCGATGATCCGACTCATGGGACAGAGAGGGGAGATCCGAGGGGCATTGAGGATGATATACAACTTTGATTTTGAATTGAGTGGAGTGATCTGGAGGGCGTTCCTCGGTGCCTTTGGACCTTCTGGGAATTTGGAGGTTGCTAAAATTGCAGCTGCAAAGGCGATTAAGTTGGAAGGTGATGATGACTATGTTTATGTAATGTTTTCTAACATACTTGCCTCGTATGGCAAATGGGGAGATGTGAAGAAGGTGAGGAAGCTCATGAGCAAGAAAAGGGTGATAAAAGAAGTTGGTTGTAGTTGGATTGAAATGGAAACAACACCTCCATGAGCATCAATAATAGGTGAATTATTTATCAGCCGAGCATCCAGTGCGTAGAAAGAAGTTAAGAATTAGCATTTCACTGGCCTACTGATAAAGCACATATAGTAGGCTTGAAACTTGGAAACTTAACTGCAGAGTCGACAACCAAGTTGCTTTGTTGATTGCGATTTGTTTGCTCTGGAGGACATTTCCATAGATAACGATCATCGCCTGATCATGATCATGCTTTAGGTAGAAACTCATGTATATGACTAGCTTGTCAATATGCAATAAAGCCTAACGACTCCCCCACGTCTCTCCTGTATAAAAGCTCAAGAGCTCCCGAATGTGAGAACTATGTTTTGCCCAGTTCAGTAATACAATCTCAGTTTTGTTTACTTCATTCACCCCTTCGATCGAGTCTTCAAACATATATCAGAGCTTTCAATTCCAGGCTGTCGATCGATTTCTCCAACAGCTTCCGTTGATTCCCTTTTCTTCCTCAAGCACGCTCTCCTATTGCTGATCTACACCAAAATCCTCGTAATAAAAGTGCTATCGACGAATATGTCACAATGAATATTCATTTATCTAATTTGAACAACAACAATATTGGTCACGGTACGTGGAATCAGTTTTCTGGCTTTCTAATCGAGACATTCAACCAACAACAATTGCGATTGTGCAGTTTCAATTCAAACCGATTGCAAACCACAAGCTTTTATAATGAAGATCAGTTCAATGCAAACACGATTCGAACCGCATTGGCGCTCACTCACCTCAAAAGGGGAAATAAATCACTTTCATTGCATTCTTCCACATACCCCAAAAAGAGCATGAAACGATATAACTCGTAGTTCTTGTTGTGCAAAGATATGGCAGGAGTGGCCTTGATAACTCTGTATTTTTATTTTCTGGATACAAGGTAATCCTAATACGAGGGGCAACTATGAATGATCAAACAAGAAGAATTAACTTGCATCAACACTAACCCTATAGTTAAAATTGCAGTGTCAAGAAGTAAATCAGTCAAGATTTGTGTCACCGACGAATCAAATAAAAATTCTCAACTGCTTCTCAAGGTATCAAGCAGTCAGCATCTTACATATACGCACTCCACTCTTCATAGACATGAAAAGCAACAAATCGTCCCTTGCTTCTGATAACAAGGCAAAATGACCTATCACGAATTTCTCCTCTTAAATCACCTTGGAACTGACAGCCCGAGCTCTATAGAAGTCAACAAAGAAAAAACAATACTTCAATTAGCAACTGAACATTGGGACAGCTTAAATAGTTGTATATCGTATTCCAGGCCATATTCACCAATAATCACAAACTGCATAGTTGGTCTGATATTCGACATTAGTCTAAGTCTAACCAATATGATCCTAAACAATACTGTTTTCCACTTTGTTTTCAATCACAAACTGCATAGTTGGTCAAAGAGCCCACCTCCAAAACAGGATACTTCTTTCACGTCCCATCAACATCATCTGGTAAAAGGAGCAGTTACGTTACCATATTACTCTCACTTCATGAGAAACAAACTTAATATCTATGATTAAAATCTTGTCAAAATCCTTGCACTTTAGCTCTTACCCTAATTTGTTAGTTATACTATCGCCAATGCGTCCTTAGCTTCTAAACACATTAATTCTACTTAGTCCTGTAGGGGTATGCAGAAGAGAATTTGGCAGACGCCAGACTCAAACTTCACAACTAATCCTTCAGCAAAAAACCTATATAAAATGGAAGGTCAAGACAGTAAAATATGAAGTAGTTCCAGCAGAAGCTGACACTACATTGGCTGTATTTCGATGCTAACAAGAATCCTACTGTGAATTGAGGTAGCATGACCAAGACTCTGCAAATGTACAATGCGCTTTGCAGTTATATCGTAGCCCTAGCCTGCCTTGTCCAGTTTTCGCATTGAAAAGCTGGCATCGAATAATATCGATATAATCTAGCCTCTTATTTGACATCTTCTACAGGGAAAATTAAGTAGAACTTTGATCAGGAGTCAACTCAGAGGTTTGGTACTATGCCCAATGAAAATTAAATAGGCAGCAGTTTGTTACCAGAACACCTAGTATATATTGAAATTCATACACTAGATCATGACCACATGAGAATCTAGACTTATGGGGTAAGAGAACAAGCCTTTCATCTCATTGTGAGAATTCACACATAGGCAACCAAGTGAAGCTATGCAAACTTCTCAATAGAAACTCCGACCAGGCGACCATGGAGGTCAAAATGATCGAACTAACAAGTTGGAGATTACTAACGAAATACTAATTTGTGTCATACTTGATAAGGATGCAGTGGGCCATAATTGACAGATCCCCAGTTTATTTCTTTAGATATTATGTGCCTGCAGGAACCAAATACCCTTAGTCAGACTGTGCAAACACCCTATGGCCAGTTGAGATCTCCAGATTAGATTGACCCCCAATAAGAGACCCTAACTCAAATTCTAGCTCCCTCGTGTTCTCTAACCTAATCATCATTTCATCATGTTCATCATCATAGTCTCTAAACAGAACCTCAATTTCGTGCCTAAAGTTTCTAACTTTAAGGACCACAACAAGAATCAATTTACGCACAAAGTCCCGACAAGTATAAAGTGAAACATCCATGTAATCAACAAGGGCCAATTATCATTCCTTCCATTTCAATGATATATATGACAATCAAGAAAAGCAACATATAACAAATTTAGGGGTTTGAAGAGAAGCTAAAAAACGCTACTCACAGTCAAGAGAGAGTAGTAGTAGCAGTAATAAAAGCTTTTTCTTAGCAATGTAGCTACTAGAGGCCGGGATAGGTGCAGCAGAGTGTACCCTGAGAGAGAGCACGGCCACTCCTCGAAGTCGTGCTCAAGCATGAAGTCATCCTCGCCGTCGCCACCGCGCTATGCAGGGGCAGCAAAGACGCCGCGCATCCCAACTCCGAGGGAATCCTGGAAATCAAGCCCACCGGCGGGGGGAAAACATAAGCAGCAATAAAAAAACTGAAATTGGAGTGAAATTCCGACACTCACTAAGAAGCCAAACCCCGAGCTCCGTACCTGGAGATGGAGAAGCGGCGGATAGGAGTAGCAGAAGAAGAAGTGCTGGCGAAGGATGAGGTAGAGCTGGTTGATCTGGATTTTGCAGCGGCGGATCTGAGGGCAGATTTTATGGAGGATAGGGATGATCTGGAGACGAATTTGGTGCCGAAGGAAGCCATTGATGTCTCAGTGGAAGAAGATGAATGGAGTTTTTTCGAAAGTTTTGAAATTGGGCAGTCTCGATTTGTCTGAGAGGGTTTAGGGTTTTAGGATTAGGCGCCGGGAAAAATTCCTCTGTTAGAATTCGCCGACTGCCCGATCTTTCCCGAGACGACTGAAAGGGGAGAGAAAAATGGTTATGGGCTGTGAGTTGTGATTTGGTTTAGGCTTTTTGGACCTTTTTCTGTAGTGGGCTGAGCTTTGTCTGGCTAAACGGACAGGCTTGAAGATTTAAGTCAAATTGTAGAAATAAGCACTCAACTTTGGGTCAGTAACATAACGAGTCACTTAAATTTAATTCCTAACAAAATGATAACACTTAACTTTGCGCTAAGCCACTAACTAAGCAACTATCAAATCGGTTAGTTCGCAACTTCGTTCAACTCCTCTCATCCATAAATCCGCTACTAAAGTGAAATTATTTTTAAGAAACAATACATATTCGGTGATTACTTGAGGCGTATTCACGAGACCAAGACACAAATCATGAAAGGACCCGTCAAGCAAGTGTTCTAGACTCCCCACTTGTAGAAACCTCGATCAAATATAGCCTCAATAAGCAGTTCATGGATGACGGCATAGTATATTTTTCTTTTGAATTTTTGATCATCTAATCTCTGGCGATGTGAATCAGCATTCTCTATACATGCTTCTTAAAAAATAATAATCTAAAGTCGATGTATCTAGACTCTAAGTAGCGTATATTTAGAATTTAGATTACATATTGGTTTCGTTGCAGATTTAAAAATGCATGCAGTAATTTCCTCTACAAGGAAAGTTTCCTTCTTTGTTGACCAAGTTTGTTTCTAATCCAAAGTCCAAACATGAAGACAAAAGCTTTTTGCCCACTCCATCGGCAATATCCAACAGCAATTTTCTTCTTGTGCCCTTCTGGCCTGTATATTGCTTCCAGGCAGCAGTTGGTTTAGCTGGTGTTCTTTCTCTTGTATCCTCAACTCAACAACCAAAGTATTTTGCCCTATTGCATAAACAAACTATTCCTTTCCGGCAACGAGTTTTGGCAATATTCTGCCACCCTTGCATGACGTAATACGCATTTAATTGAAAATACTTCATTATTGAAAATATTTGAGCAATTATAGCGGTTATATATATATATACATCATAAATTGGAGTTCTTGATCGAGTTAACTCTCACATCCATTTTAATTAGCTTATGCTCATGATTTCAATTCATTTATGTATTCTTTTCGAGAAAGATCAAATTGAATCGAAACATTTTTTCTTCCACATTTGAGAATCAAAACCTGGTCTAATTATGCATCATTTGATCCACAATAATATATAAAAAAAGTTTCCATTTACCCGTAACTCTTTGTGATTTGTGTCTATTAATCTAACTCGAAACAAGAATTAATCTTTTTTTTAATTGTTTTATATACACGAAAGGAGCATGCCGGAGAGGCAGACCAGCAGGGCGAAATGATTCCACGCCGCCGACGATCGTCGAACCCCCGTCATCCCCACGCCGTGTGAATTCGAAGAATTCTCCGACGCCAGCAAAGAATTGAACTTGAAATTCGGATTGGAACCATAAAGCGCCTGGATCCCTTCCACGTCATCGACTTTGAGCTCCACTTTCTTCATCCTTGGGCTCAGGCTCGGATACATAACCGCTTCCTTGACCGAGCTGTGGGCCAGGCCCAGCACGTGACCGATCTCGTGGGTCGCCACCGATTCCAAGTCCACCGCCACCCGTGACGTCACCCCGTCGAAATCGTCCGCCGCCGCCCAAGTCTCCGCCGCGTCGAGGTGGAGCCGCCCGTTCTCCGGTGAGAAGGCGTGCGCCAGCACCCCCAGCACGCCGTCGAACGCCTCCCCATCGCCGTGGTCGCCGCGGTACCACCCGATCTTGATGTCCGCCGACCCGTACTCCTCAGACTCCCGGAAGCTCACCGGAATCGCCGCCGACCACCGGTCGAATGCCCGCCGGAAAACCCGCCGGACGTCCTTCGCGCTCAAGTACCCCACCCTGTGGTCCGGCGAGAACGCGTACGTCAGGGTCATCGTCTCCCCGTCGCCGTCGCCGTCGCTCCCCCTCTGCCACCGCGGCCGGCCGTAGAAGTACGCGAACCGCTTCGTCGCGTGCAGCTTCGACGGCGACGGGGGGGACGCCGAGTCGGCGACGCCGCAGCGCGGCGACATGATTGCTGATACCGTGGCCGAATCAAGCTTCCCGGTGACCGTCAATCCGAGGTTCCGCTGGTAGGATAAGACGGCGGATTCCAATTGGCCGTCGAACAAATCGGAGAAATTCAAATTACTACCCGAACTTCCAAAACTCGAGAAATTGGTACCCTCGAGGTAGCCGAAGCGGTGGAAGTAGCGCTTGAGGTCGGCCACGCCGCTGAGCTGGCTTCCTTTACCGGCGTCGATCAGGCGAACGAAGTTGTGCCACGTGGCGTTTTGGGTTTCGGGTATAACGGTTACGGCGTCGGGTATGATTCTGGCGGGAAGCAGGGGAAGGCGGGAAAGGTAGAGTAGAGAAGAACAGAGGAGGAGGAAGGTAGTGAAACGGGAATAACTGAAAAATCGAATCATGGCTTTCTGTCTTCTCTTTCCTTTTCGGCGGCTGAAGAAGATGGAGGAGGAGATGAGCCGAACAAAAAAAAAAAAAGTCCCCACCTTTTCTGAAGGAAAGGGAAAGGTTAATGAATGAATCAATGGAGGAATTTAGAGTTTTTAAGTGGGTGGTTTTCGGGCCAATGGGAGCTTAATTTATTTGGAGATAGATAGAGAGATAAGGTGGAGGAACAAGTTATATATGAATGAAAGGGATGAAGAGGAGGGCAAAGGTTAAGGAAGATTCTGTGTCTGCCGTGTGTGGCTTTTGATCAGGAATCATGCCTTGGGAGATTCTGACTTGGAGGAGGAGGGAAGACTATGATGATGTTATTGGGGTGACTTGACTCTCATAAGGGGAGCTATGGTGGGTAAACCACTGTCGAAATTCTTGGTTTGATGATCTACATATCCCATCATTTCCAAATTGGACTAGTGAAATTTTGTTTTTAATTTGGCGGATTAGAATATATAGCGAGTTATATCTTACATAGGTAAATATGAGGTATTGTATATGCTGAGTACGAAAATGTATTTAGAGTTTGAATTGACCGGATTTTAAGACATGATACTATATTTAAATCCTTACAGATTAAAATCTAGGTATGAATTCTCTAAATATTATACACTAATATAATTTCAATTGGAAACAATAAATGATGATTATGATTGTTCGAATTACACGGACCTTCTTAGGGGTTGGGGTTTATAATTTAGATAACTAGGACATAAGGTTTACTCATTTAGGGTTGGTGTATAATATATTGTCCCAAACTTCAACTAATGAAAGGTTTAGATATTTTTTATTAAGAGCATGCTATAGTCTAAATTTACCCAAAGTACGATAGAAGCCACCAAGAAACATGTACGGGGTTGTTCGTGTGGAGAAGTTTGATTTGGGGAACTTTGAAATATCGTATATTCAAGGTAGGTGATCAAATAGGAAGCCTATTCTCATCACAACTTGAACAGGTTTCATTTGTGTTTGACCTATCCATAGTACTAGAACATATGTCTACAATTGGTATGAGTTGAGTTAGGACACAAGATGTGTGTAGTTTGAGTGTATGGAGGCATGTAGTGGTTGAGAAGTTTGCGACTCTTGTTTTAGCTAATTAAGAAGGAAGGTTTTGGCGAGGTAATATATGTTTATATATTCTACTCGATAATAGACATCTTTCTATTCTAAAAGTTTAAACTTTCGTTCTTATTAATTGGTAAATCATATTGTCATATACATTAAATATTCATGTATTTTATGCAATGAGAGATGTTGAACGGAACTGAAGGAAAAATAATAAAATATCATCTTAAATAGTCCAATAAGTTATAAAGTAAATTGTTAGTGCTCACTCAATTAGATCATGTATTGAGGCAATATTTTTTTTTATCACCTGATCCGACTCGTCATGAAAGTTGATATATCATCTAGCAACACAATTCGGTATCTAAGTACTAATAAGTGAACTTTTCATTACTCATTCTCACCATAATTTCCTTTTCTTTTGTTACACATGAGTCCATCAAAGAGTAGTGTATATTTGGGGTCAAGTGGGTGTAGTTAAATTTCTGCTCTTGGTCAACTGATTAATCGTTGTCTTGTGTAAAAGGTCCCAACTTTTTCAAATGAAGTGCATAAAACGGACTTTCTTGTTTAATTTTGTGGAGGGGACCATAAACCCATAATCACGCTTATTCACGCCACAATACATAATTAGCCGCGCTTAAATACCCAATTAGACAGTGGAAGTGAAAATGGTTTTAAACTTCTAATCTTGTAAAGTTTCCTGCAATTAAGTTACAGACGTCCGTTCATCGTCATTTTGTGTATAGTTGGCTTCTCGTTCTTACATTTTAGGGCTCTGTCTTCTGTTTGTTGACCAAATTAATTAGGTGGTGCCGATAAGACTTTCTCTTCGTTTTCCTATTTATATATGTTTGTGCTGAAGGTGTTCTGTTTGGTGGGGAGAGATGCATCAGAGCTTCAATTACTTGCACAACAATATAATCTCACAGTGATGACGCTCTTCAGCTCAACAACTGATACCATATGTCCATTGTTTAATGAGATAATTAGTTCAACTAATTATTTCTTTCATCCTTCTTGCAAATACAAGTTTATCCTTTCTATGATACTAGCTTTTTACCTGGCCTGTTGGTCGGTGAGTTTCATTTTATCATTTATATTAATCAATTTATCGATATGTTTAAACTATTTTAGATCTTTTAAATTTTTTACATTTGCATTCATATGTGAGTATGCAGTGCGTCTATAAATTAAAAATTCTCAATACTTAGCACATTCACTTATGATGTTTCGATTATCTGATCATAAATCATATCACAAAGATATATCACGTCCCATATAGAATCATATGTCAAGATTTGTCAACAACGATACTCAATTTTTTTAGGCAAAATACAGCTGTATATCCACAACTATCAGGTTTGTGACAAATATATCCACAACTATCGAAATACACGAAATCTCCAAAAATCGGAAGGTTGTGTGACAAATCTATCCACTTCCGTCTGAAACTATAACGGCGTGTCAGACGGCGTTAAATTGACTAACGGAATGTTGAATCGATGCCAGCTCACCTGCCACATAAGCCAAAAAGCAACAAAACTTTACACATAGATGCCAAATAGGCTAGTTTAATAAAGGCAAAATACAGTTGTATATCCACAACTATCAGGTTTGTGCCAAATATATCCACCACTATCAGGTTTGTGACAAATATATCCACAACTATAGAAATACACGAAATATCCGTTTCCGTCCACTCCGTTAACTCCGTCAGTTAACTTGATGACTGGACAAACGGTGGATGCTTAGTTGACGTGTTTCTGACCCCACTGAATGACGTGGATTAAAAGAGAGAAAAAATTAAAAATCCTAAAAACCACAGACAGCGAGACTAAAAATCCAACATAGAAACACGCGCGATAACCACTGATCCTCCTCCGATCGACGCATCCACCCCCAAATAACCCTATCCCAAGCCCAGATTTTGATTCCAACCACAATCCCCAACCATTGCCTCCCTTTTACTTCGACGGCTTCCATGCAGTCGGTGCCATGGTGATACCAAGTTTGAATCGAACCAAATCGCCAACAGAGAAGACTACAACATCGAGGTCTAACAGATAACGGTGTAAAGTTTGGTTGCTTTTTGGCTTATGGCAGGTGAGATGGCATCGATTCAGCATTTTGTTAGTCAATTTAACGTCGTCTGACATGTCGTTATAGTTTCAGACGAAAGTGGATAGATTTGTTACACAATCTTATGATTTTTGGATATTTCGTGTATTTCGATAGTCGTGGATATATTTGTCACAAACCTGATAGTTGTGGATATACAACTGTATTTTGCCTAATTTTTTTCTCTTTTAATCCACGTCATTTAGTGGGGCCAGAAGCACGCCAACTAAGAATCCACCGTCTATCCAGTCATCATGTTAACTGACGGAGTTAACGGAGTGGATGGAAATGGATATTTCGTGTATTTCGATAGTTATGGATATATCTGTCACAAACCTGATAGTTGTGGATATACAGCTGCATTTTGCCTTTTTTTTATCTTGTATAATATATGCCATTCAATGAATCTCGAGTTTGGACAAACTCTCAACCAATGATGTTGCTCAGATGACGACAACTTAGTTAGAATTTTTTTATAAAGGTACTTCAATATTAGATAAATTTGGTCATCCCAATTGAAAGTTTACTATCTTAGTGTATGATCATATTTGTCGATCAAGACACTCAATTTAATATTTTATACAATATGTACCAATTGTTAATACCTAAAGTTTAATTTTGACTCACCCTCAACTCATGGTCGTTGTTTAGATGTTGGTTTAGAATCTCGGTCCAAGATACTCACACACTGTCGAGGGTTCTAATCTTAACATGGTACATTAGTGTATAATTTGCTAACTAATCAAATATGCATTTGCTAAAATTTATTTATCTTTGGTGTTTATTTTGGGATAAAAATTCCATTACTTATACTAATATCTTCATTTTATTGGTGTAGTGCCACATCCCTAATCAATATCGAAGCATGATACTATACTCTAAGTAAGAAAACGCTATCAGAATCACGAATTAACCGGATTTGTGGGCATGATACTATACCCTAACCCTTGATAAGTGAACCTGAGGTCTTAGTTATCTAAATCATAGAGCTTAACCCCTAAGATTGTGCAGGTAATTTGTTGCATATATTTTTTCGAATCATGACCATTGATTTTTGTTTATAATTAAACTGATGTTAGCGTATGAGATTTATAAATTTAAGACCTAGATTTTAATGGCTTTGAGAATAATACCATATGCCAAACTCCAGTCAATTCAAGGTCTATATATCGTTTTCTTACTCAAAGTATGTCATAATATACATATATAAATATAAAGAGTTTAATATATTTTTAAGTGTACTTAACACCTTTGTTTGACCGAAATATGTAAACTGTTAAGAAAAATAAGGGGAAATATGAACAAATGTAAGAGAAAATAAGGTATGGAAACATGAATTATAAGAGAGAAGAAAAGTTGTCTTTCTTTATCGCATTCATTTGTACAATTAGGTACTACATTATGGATTCGTCGTATTTCTATTAAAATGGAAAAAAACAACTTTTGAAGTATTTTGCTATTTAATACTTGTTTTTGTTGATAGATACAAATATTAGAAAAAGATAGTGTTTGATAACCAAAACATAAAATTATATAGTTGGTTTTTCAAATTCAATTGATTATTAAATGTTGATTATCTACACTTCACTATATTAAGTTCTAATAAAAATAAAAATTAATTGATCAGATTTAATCAAATTTTTTTTTTAATTATAATATATGTCACTCTCCAAACGTAAGTATACTGCTGCTACACATATATATTGCAAAAAAATTATTGAATAAAAAAAAGAAAAAATTAAAAGAAGATAGAGATAGCTACATAAATGATCATTAAAATAAAAGAAAAATATTAAAAGAAGATAGATATAGCTACACTAATTGATTATTAATTAACTTTTTTGTTTGTAAAAAAAAGTGTCCACCATGGCACCTTGTAAATTCTTCAAATGCTTATGTGGCAACAAACTTCTTTTGAATTGCCATAATATTATGTATAGATAGATAGATAGCATGGCTTATAAATACATATGTCCATTGTTTAATGAGATAATTAGTTCAACTAATTATTTCTTTCATCCTTCTTGCAAATACAAGTTTATCCTTTCTATGATATAGCATGGCTTATAAATACATAGCAAACCTGAAAGAACAATGGATAATAACAGTCTAACTTTACGACCAACCCACGAGTTCGATCAAATTAGTCTAGATGGTGTATAGTTTTAGGTCAGGATGAGTATTTTAGAAACAACGAGGCAAAAGTAGTCTGTAAAGTTCGGATCAATTTAAGATATTAATCATTGAAATTATTCTATCACGATTCAATTTTAGAAGA